CTTACGCGCAAAGGGCAAATAGTGTATCGGATGAGATGGATGTGATTGCGCACTTAATGCATTGTTAGTCCCTAGCGCTTTGTAAGCAAAGCATGGGGGCCGTTACAATGGCCTCCCTCGTTCGATTTCCCCTCTTACGACACCGGCGAATTGAATTTCAAGTGGCTGCATCCCTCTAGAACGCCGTCTTTATTCTTGGAAAAAGAGATACGACGTCCTCACGATAACGCTTTCAAGGGATCTTTCCCGCGTGAGTGTAAGGTTTCTCAAACCTGTCGATTACTACCGCGGAATCTAACCCTTTATTCTCTCTATCCGAGACGACTTAAACGACCGAATTAAATGGTCGATTAATATTAAATGAGATAATACTTTACATTTGATATACTTTTAAATGATTGTACTTTCCGTAGAAAATATCGTATGAGATCCTCCGATAAAATAGAATTTGATCGATCTCTACTCGACATCGACATGTCTCGATGAGACTTGCTTTCTAACGACTTCCACGCTTTCGTAATATTGCGTTCCAACGATACGAAATTCTCGATGAAACGCGGCGATAGCGAAGAATTTTGAATCGAGACCTTCTTTCGAGGCGTGGGTCGAGTAATCCGCCGAATGCAACATTGTATACTGATCGTCGCGCGTCGTCAAGTCTGACACGTGTCATTTATTGAAACGGTCGATCGATGATTTTCTCCGAAGAGGGTGCTAGTCGATAATCAAATATGAAAGAGAAACGTGCTTTAGAATAACGCTTGCAATGTGTGAACGTAGCACATGACGCGACCGAAAGTCCTTACAAAATTTCGATTAACATTAGCGACAGTTGATTTGATTTATTATTAACTGAACGAAAGAAGACGCGTTTTTAGAAAATGTATTTTAAGGGGTGATTCTTATTTACACTGAGAGAAAAATTATTTAAGAAATAAAAAATATTTATTCATAATATTCATCATAGAACCAATGAAAATTATTCAATTCTTTGTTTTCCATCCTCGGGACTATTGTATTTGTAATTAATAAATTGTATTTCAAAGTATATAACATTTTCATCGCTAGTAGTTCCCGATTATGCTTGAAACAAAATTATTGTAATGTCTGTTTTAACAGCATTATATTATATTTGTGTTAATAAACGCATGATAGACTAATGTGCCATGCACGCAAAAAAAAAAAACTAGCTTCCAGAGCTAAAAAATAGCTGTGGCAGATAAGATATGTCACTGATATAGGGACAGCTAATGTCGAAGCTAAATTTATTCGCTATTAAACTTAGGCGCTACAGCGAGAAATATTAGCTGCTAGAAATAAATGACTGTAACAAATGATTGTAGCTGTGCGGCAAACTTCTTTAATATATGCATACGATAAGAAATTTAGGAATAACTGTCATTTTCTTAGCTACTTGAAATAATGTGCATTTTTAATGTCACCTAATATAGTTGTATTTCATAGCGAATGCATTTTAGCTGTCATAGCCAATTAGCAGTGACAGCTAAACGATTAGCCTTTTGACTAAGTTTGAATCAGCTATCACGGTTTAGCTGATATTATTAAGTCATTTTTTTGCGTATGCCAACGGTTAAGTTCGGCGATAAATCTATGATAATCTAAGGATATCCCGAACATAAAAAAATAGGTGACTTGATAAAAATTAAGAAAATTTTAATAATTAAAACTTAGATAATTAGATAATTAGAAAGAAAACTGATATCAAGGATACAACACGCGATATTATTGAAGCTAAAGAAGGATTATTCTAAAGCAAAAATTTGACATTTGTTATAATTTGGAATTCTAACGGCATAAAAATACAAGTTAAAACTTTTAAAATAAAATTTGGCTTATGCACGTTTTTGTTTATCAAAACAATTATTTTGAAAGGCATAATTTTTATGTTGAAAGGAATATTTGATATATATATAATACATCTTTTTAATATCTATATATTTTGGATGGAGCAGTTTCACGCAAGATGAAATTTCTGCGCGATGATAGAAACTACTTCTGCGTTGGTGCGCAACATGTAAACGAATGCCATAATTAATGCACCGACACGTGAGCATATGGTTGTAGATTTAACGATGCATTGTGCACAAAACGTCATTACAAACATACACATCGGATAAAGGATAAGAAGGAAGCTGCGATATCAGCCCATGTATGGGAAGGAGATTTCCAAATCTCATTTACGTATTTACGGAAAATGATGAATAATATTTAGCACATATTTATACTTATCCATGATGATATTTTAAATGTACATATGCATTTATTTATCGCGATATTTTAAATATCGGGGGCGCAATGCGTACTATATGTATATGTGTAATGTGTTCAAATTCGAATGAATTTTCTAGGTCTTGGTGACGAGTGGGGCGCCGCACCACCACCCAACAATCCCCTGGAAACCGCGATCAAGGAGCTAGGCTCTCATCTTTTACAAGTGAGTAATTGTCATTTGTCATGATTTTTGTATGTGTAACGAATTTACAACGTACATAAACACATAATGAACGATGAGGAATTTGCCTCGCACACGCGGTTAAAATCTATTTGCGGTAATGAAAACTTTTCATGGTGTGAGATTTTAATTGTGTACCTAAATTTAATAATATTTATTAAATTTCATCCATATAATTACCACAATGTTTAATTTTTTTTTTTACTAAATTTTCGTGTACAATTTTCGCTAATCAAATTGCTAACCAATAATTTCTGGTTGCAGACTCTGGATGGGTTTATATTCGTCGTGGCGCCTGACGGAAAAATTATGTACATAAGCGAGACTGCCAGCGTACACTTAGGATTGTCCCAGGTCGGAGATATCCCCTCATTTATTTAATTAAGATTCGCGAGAAAAGTTGATTCAACGACTCGAGCGAATACACTTGTACAGTATCATAGTACTAAAAGAATTGCGTGGAGCAGTGCGTCATGCAAGTATATTTTTCATCAAAACCGAAATAAAAGGCGACGATGTTAAATAATGTAAAAAAAGAATGAAGAAACGAAAGTATCCGTTACTTCGGAGACTATTGACGAAAGTTGTTTGTGCGTGCAGGTGGAATTAACGGGAAACAGCATATACGAGTATATTTATCCGGACGATCGCAATGAGATGATTTCCGTGCTGAGTCTTCCCAATTCTCCGGATCATCGTTATTCATATCCAGAGCCGAATTCGCGAGGCGAGGTAGAGTTGGAACGTGCCTTTCTTCTTAGGATGAAGTGCATTCTAGCCAAGAGGAACGCGGGCCTCGTCACCGAAGGATACAAGGTAATACGAGTGATACTGAATTTTCGCTAATGATATGTCTTGGCATGCCAAGAGAGATCGAGGAGTTTTCCTCTAATCATTTCGCAAAGCGCGTGATATATTCGCGACCGGAATAGATTGCGCGAGATTACAAAGGGAAAACAAACAATTGGCACAAACGTTTGACTTTTTATACAGGAAATCATAAAAAGAATGAAAACTCTAAGTAACAGACAAGAACTGCTTAGCTAAGTAGGGATGCCATTGTTCCGGTCACGCACATGGGAGGAAATGTGCACGTCGGGTAGGTGAACGTCCAGGAGAGGCGAGAAGGTCGACGCGTTTTACGTGTCGTGTATTGCTACTGATACTTGTCCTATAATTTCTAGTAACGTATATTTATACGTCTGATAATTAATGATATTGCGCTTGTATGCAGGTAGATCGAATTAAAATAAATAGAAGTCTTTTACCAAATTCCGCAAAAGTTATTATGAGGAATCAATTTGAATAATATTAATGAATCGATGCGTGAAAAACGGTAGTATGAGCTTTCTGTAGGCAAAACATCATCCAAAATAGCTCTAATCTGTTCTAATCGGTCAATGATGCTGAACTGCACACTTTCATTGTCCAGCATCATGCAGTTGACCTAACCATTGTCAGAAGATCGTTAACAGATTAGAGCCATCTCGAATGACACTTACAAGATTTGTCCTTTCCGGGCTAGATACAAACCTAAGTACATTTATCACCGAATATAAGATTAACGTGATAACAAATAAATAATAACTGATTCGAGTGGCTAATGGCGTCATACGTTAATTGTATGTCAAACGTGAATAATTGATACTTGAATTGATATTTGGTATCTATACTGTGTGATTAAAGGTAAAAAAGAGTATTAATAAAAGCAACTATCGTTACATCTTTCTGTCGAATTAATTTAATTCAATATATTACATACTAAAGGGTGCTATTTAATCGATATGTTATCAACGTCACACCATTAGTCAGACTTATAGTGCGCCCCAAATGCCCCAAATGCACCAAATGCGAAAAATCGCGGATCAACGCTGATCTTGCTTTACGACCGGTGATGCCTTAATTTCCCAAAATCCGGCCAAACTTTCGACATATGTCCCGGCAATAACGAACGTCGAGGGGATGACGGTGGAGCTGCGATGTACCTAGGCGCCAGCTAAACCGAGAAAGACGGCCCTCACGGAAGAAAATGTTCGGCAAATAGCTCTTTCGTGCCACAATACCACGATGACCGTAGCCCTCGACAAAATCGCGCACGAAAGATCCCCCAATGAGCGTCGGGCGAAGTCATGAATGCAACCCCTACGAGCTGGTGGACGAGTCGAGATGCGGGGTCGAGAGCAAGTTTTTCTCTATGGTACTTGGTCGCACAAAGACCGGATCGTAGTTGGCTTCTCTTTGTCGAAGCGCGAGCGTGGATTTAACGGTGAATTAACGAATGCGTGCAACTTAAGTGGCAGAGAGAGAGTGGCGTTGTTTGTTTCATTCCGCGAATATCATACGACAAAGAGAGACGATCTATCCGAGGTGTTCGATCGATTCATCTGCATAATCTGCTATCTGGAAACTCATGTAATCCAGATCACGAAACGCAAACGATCCGATCGACTTTTCGTATTAACAAGGGTTCGCTCAGATTCGCTTGCTGATGATACTCGATCTACACAGCGTCGTGATTACGTTTGCTCCGGCGAGAGATACGTGCGAATCTACTTTCCAGATCAGATCGGATATCCCCGCGTGTCAAATTATACTCTTTCTTGACTCTTCGAGTCTTTTTCGCGTTCCTCGCGCCACTGCGCGCCTGCAGCGCGCGATGCAGGGATTGCATACGAGGTGATATATGCAACGCGGGCATAATAAGGGTCCTATTTGCTTCACAAATTCGCCCGGCACTCGAGACGGGAGCGTGAGCTTTCGCTTTTTTCCTATCATCGGCCTTACATTCAATTAAGCAGGAATTGTTAATTTGCCAGGAGTACGTTGTTTCGCGCGAGGGTACATTGCTCGAGTGTCGCACTTATCGCTCGGCCAAAGAATAACGTGCACCTCGAGCCGAACGAGCGTGCGTGCATACGACCACGATGCATTACAATGTATCGTAAGAACTTATATATGCGAATTTTTGCACAACTATACTGAGAAAAAGAAGTGGTTGAGACGAACAAAATTTGAGCAAACGTATAGTCGATTGGACGAATATACAGTTGTTATGATGAGTTATTGAATAATTCAATGATTGAAATTTGGTCAGTATAACTACATGAACGCAACTTCGCACTAACGCGCGATTCGTTCAAAAGATACAATATTTATTTCAAGAGGGATGACTACTGAATTTGTCGATCCAACTGCTTTTTTATGGGTATAGAGATGGTAAATATCTCGAGCAAAAGAATCTCGAGGGGAATTTCGTTGAGAAAACGAATTTTTTCATGTGAAAACTCGCTCTCTAAAGTACATCGGTGTATTTTCTTTGAGATGCTACACAGAGAAAAAATCTACAAAATGAAAAATATTAATTCAATTTTTTCTCAGTATAGAGCTGGTGGTTCAACTGTAAGCACTGCAATTAATAAAGTTTCTCGCTAAAACAATCAGTTAATAATATATAGCAGTAACTTCAATTATTGATACAAAGTTTGTAAACGCAAATATAAAATTTTATATTATTTTATATAATTTTATATAATATAAAATATAATATAATATTATATTTTATATTATATTTAATAATTTTTTATTAAATATATATATATATTAAAAATAAAAAGTATATATTTTATATTATATGCAAAGTGCGTGGAAGATGTTAATTTTATAGTTGTAAACGTAGAAAGTTGTATTTGGTATAAAGAATTTGTATATTGCAGACTTTGCAGTAAAATTTTACTTCCACTAGCCTACAGTGAGATCGTATTAGGCAAAAGAGTAAAGTGTTTTACTTTAAGAAAGCGTTGTCACGCTTATTTTTCAACTAATTTAAGAGATACAAGAGAAAAATATGAAATATTCATGACGATATCCTGCGAAATGTTCGCGATGTTCCAGGTCATACACTGTTCAGGTTATCTCAAGTGTGTCTTCGATCGACAAAACGAATACGAGGATGGCCTTATCCGAAATGTTGGTCTTATTCGAAATGTCGGTCTATTGGCAGTCGGCCATTCTCTGCCAACCAGTTCCATAACCGAAATTAAATTGCACCACAACATGTTCATGTTCCGGGCATCACTCGACCTGAAGCTCATATTTCTCGACGCGAGGTAAGATTTCGTTAACATGCCTACTGTTGCTCATTATTGCATAAAAAAAAAGATATGGTGCACACAATCAGAAATATTTAATTGTGAGCAGCACGGTTGCATCATTAGTTATTTTTATGTGACGATAATGTGTATAGTTGATATGACTCAATTACTTTGGTACATCAACTACATCAGTGTAGTTGCGCGAGATCTGGTTGTGGAAACGAGAAATCGATTAAAGTGGTATTTACCATGGATATACTCTGATTGGAGCAACCAGATGTTGTTGCAACGTCAGTAACTCAACGATTGCTTTGTAGTTGTGGCAATCACATGATTAGTTGTTTCCGTACCTTATTATTGAATCTGATCGGCACAATCGGATTTCCGGGCTAACCATACTGTTTTTTTCGTGTAATGGCGAAAAACAATTTACGATTAATTAAACGAAAAATTTCATTGACACCGCCAACGTAATGAACGGACCGACAAATAAACAAAAATGTAAATTTTCAAAGAAAAGAATATAATCCTTTTAAGATACACTCTTGGTCAATCACTGCAGTTATCGTGATAACATTAGATACGACAAAATCCACGTTAAAATTCTTACAAAATACGTTGAAATAAAATGATATCTTTACAAAATGATACTTGCAATTAATCGGATCTTTTAAAATAGGCTGAACATTTTCCATTTGCTGCGACGATCAATAAATAGCGATCAATAAAATTAACGGGGCAAAAGAGAAAGTAGGCTAAAAAGGAAAATTGCATATCATTAATTTTAGATTATATTTATTAATTATTTCACAAAAAGAAAGGACTATTTTACAAACCGATCGATTGCAAGTGTCGTTTTGTGACATACATCTTTTTATTTTAACGTATTTTGCAAGAATTTTTAGAGCGTGCTTCCTCACTTCTGACGTCATCAATCAAAAGTTTCGAAGAGCTTTAATTCTTGAATAAGGTTTTTTTTTCGAGAATTAGCGTCTCCCGATGTCGCGAGAGGAAGTACGCGGTGTTGACTCGAGCACCGGGACACAGTGGATTATTTATTTCCAATGTAATTATAGTCGAGTGTCGTATTGCGCCATTAATATTTCGATGAAGGGCCCGCACGGTGCCCCCGATCGGGGGACGAGGTATGACCATTAAAATCAGTTTCGTATTACCCCGCTCTGCCGTGTATCCTCGTTTTTTTCCTCCTTCCATTCGTGGCAAATAAATATCCGGCGAGCGCGTTACATTCGCTCGCTGGGAACGAACACGTGACGCGGTATAAATATAGCACGGATAGAAGCGCGCGATGAAATTTTATACACACGTCGATCGAATAGGCTCGCGCGGATTGTGCAAACTCGCAACGCTCGCACCGTAAATCCCGGCGAAAACAAGCTCAGCCCGAATAGCGACCCAGCGGACGAACCGTAGCTTCTTTTGGCTGTAGCCACGCTAACTCAGTGTCAGTAAACATCGAGATTGCGGACTATGCGACAAACGACTGTCTCTCACACAGAAGAGGAAAAAAGAAAATAGCAGATGTTTCCGCCTTTTTACATTAAAAATAAATTACTTAGGTCCTTCTACATTCTGAACTTGCTTAAATCGATAAAAGTGCCTCAAAATGTGAATTTACAAGCCTTCTGATCGGCTTTCAGTCGCATTTAAATGCATTTTTACCGATAAAAGGAAATTTAGAATAAACACTTTAATCTCGAAATTCAATTCGAATAGACGATAAAATCTGTTTTTATCAAAATGATACGATAGTATTTTGACCCTGAGAAAATAAGTTACGAAAACTCTTGGAATGGAATTTTACTTAAATCGAATGAAAAGTGGCAGTATTTTTACTCGAAGTGAAAATATTGCCCACTCAAAATTACGATAGTAGAATGTTTCACTATAACTGAGTTTTGACTCTATATGAGTGCATATTTTAATCGATTATAATGCATATGTTCCTATGGCAGTGGAATACAGAAGACTCCATCAATGCTGTCCCATTTCCTAGCAGTTTCGTTTGAAATTTTTGATCAGTCGCGTTGTATCATATAAATATTCATACATCATGACTATTGATTATCCGAGGAATTGTCTACATGAAAAAGAAAAGATATGTATGATGCATATAAATATTTAGTTGTGAGCTGCATCAACCTAGTTATCTTTGTGTGGTAATAGATATGGTTGATGCGACTCAATTATTTTAGTATATCAATTACAAAGTTGCGCGTGATCTGATTGTTACAACTAAAAATCAGTTGACATTTACTATGGATACACTCTGATTGGAGCAATCACATAATTAGTTGTTCCGTAGTTTACCATTGAATCTCTGGCTGGTACAACTAGATTTCTATGTGAGTCAACCATACTGTTTGTCCCGTGTATGCTCTGAATAATCAGTAGTCATGATATATGTACACACATTGTGCGTAATCGAGAAATTCGTTCGAAACTAGGCCTAGCAAATGTTAAGGGTATTATATCGGGTTATATATGTTAAATTTACTCTTCAATTTTGAATTTGAGTGGCTCGATGAGCATTCTACTTTTCGAGTTAAATTCCACTCTAAGAAATTTAGGAAGTAAGTTAAATAGTCGAAGAGTATTAACAGAGATATCATATCGGTGTAATTCGCGTCTTCTTACAGGGTAGCCCATTTGACAGGATACGATCCGCCGGATCTTATCGAAAAGACCCTGTACCACTATGTACATGCAGGCGATGTTTTGCAGCTGCGACACGCTCATCGAGTTTGTAAGTTTGTTTCTTTTCCATTTGTTATTGATTTCACTTAAACTTTGATGCGACATTACATACAGGAAATATTGCAGAGAGCTCTTTTTATGTATAAAACTCTTTTAAATTTTACTATGTTTTTTTTAGTAATGCAACAGCAGATTTCTAATTTAAGTGCGTGTAGACGCGAAACAATTGAACTCAACTTCAGGATTATATACACTAACTTCTTCTAGCAGAATTGTGGTGTTCCTTTAATCCCTTATTTAAAACTAGTTCACAAAATTTAATTTCACGAAGCGATCATAGAGTTGACCTAACACATCACTTAGTTATATTTATATCATCTGATTAAGTAATTTATTCTTCCAATCAGAAGCAAAATTATGCATATTATGCAGTTAGATCAACCTTTAGTAGTCAAAGGTTGATCTAACTTTCTTACATCTCTCAATTTCAGTCTCATTAAATTTTAATTATTGATCAAAGCTTGTAATTAAAATTCCTATGTCAGATTGTTCATCTAATTTGATTTTTGTTGAACTCGATTATAGTTGTGTAACAAAAAATATGCATATCCCTGAAACTTAGTTTCTTTTATCCAATTTTTTGATCATAGTATATATAGTTTGTCGAGTTTTTTCGAAAAATGCTGGAGCATTTCCTTAAATATTTTTCCAGTTTCCATACTGGCGATTCCAAACGTACGATCGTCACTTTTCGCAAGTACATTACGTATCGTTCGCATTTTCTTCGATTTCAGAGATCACCATTTATTTTCGAGAGAATCAATCGTCCCACAAATCCAAAAGAACAACAACTCCGAAACAAACGTTCGAAAATATTTTCCCTGATATTTTTCCGTCGGCAGGCGGTCCGACGGAAATTTTCTCAAACGACGTCGACATGGTCGACTCGAAGAGGATAGGCTCTTCGAGGACCGAAAGCAGCTGACGCTGCTTAACTCGGCAACGCCCTTACTTCGCTGACGAAATATTCTTTGATCTTTTCTTACATTTTTCGTGCGCAGCTACGTATTTCCATTCTTTTCCATTTTTCCTCTCTTGGAGGGAAGTCGCGCTTATTTTAAGTATGGGCACACACACGTGGTGTAGGGTGTACCTAGGGTGTACATTATTGATTGAACAATGCTGCCACAGCGCGTCGACGAAAAGAGGCTGTCTAAATGTGAATGTATGTGTGCGCGCGCGCGCGTACATCTATACGCGTAAAAGAGAGGGAGGAAAATGTGTGTGTATATGTGTGTGTGTGTGTGTGAGAGAGAGAGAGAGAGAGAGAGAGAGAGAGAGTGTGTGTGACAATGAGAGGCGCAAGAAGGAGAGCGAGGAGAAGCGAGAGAGATTTAGCGAGAGAGGAGCGAGGGAGGAGACTGTTACTGCTATCACTGTTTGAACAGACTCGCAGTTTCACGAGCGCGACTCGAAGGGAGTCTGACATAATGCCACTAATGTCTGCGCCTGCGGATTGCGCGATCGCCGTCATTTTACTCGATTTTTTCGTAATTCAACGGCGATATCATGGCCACTAACAGGATTTATCTTAAGTGGTTGAATATTAAGAAAAAAATAAAAAAAGTAAAGAAAGAATCGTGAATTTTCTCTGATTACAAAACTTTGCCAGTCGTTCAGTCTCGACCCCAATGTAGTCATCGTGTGAAAATACCGTCCTAAAATAAGTCGTTTCGAATCGAGATCCCTTCGATATGCTAATTCTAATAAAGGTTCACGTCTAGTCGTTACTTTGTCGACAGTATTGTGCAAGGGTCAAGTGACGACGAGATACTACAGGTTCCTGACCAAGAACGGCGGATGGGTATGGATGCAATCGTACGTGACGATCGTGCACAATTCAAGGAGCTCGCGGCCACACTGCATCGTCTCCGTCAACTACGTGTTAACGGCCACCGAGAGTACGGGCTTGATTCTCAACTGCGAGCAAAAGTTGTCCTGCTCGAGTCCTGGGAATCCGCCGAGCGCGCCCCTCTCGACGCCCGCGGTCGGCGCGAACGATCTGGACAATCACAGCCCGAGTCCACCTTCCTATCGCGGTAGTAGGACGAAGGAGCCGCCTGATACCGATTATGCCGACAGTACCGGATATCCCAACTCGGATTATATCGCGGGTACAACGAATCACAATCACTACCTGTCATCGTCGCCATACGCACCACCTCACAGTGTAGACGGAACGCCTCATGAAGAATCTTATTATTCGGATATGTTCTACCATTATGGTGGTGAGTTTCGGTACGAACAATTTAAACCTGCTGAAAATGACTACGATGACAAAGATGACAAAGTGAATTCGGTTAAGTTTTTGTCCTCTTTTGAGTCGTTTGTCGAAAGCTTGCATTAAGATATCAATTTATTAAATATTAATTGTTGACATTTTTTAAAACAAAATACGTATCGTACGTATTTTTTATTGCATTAAAATCTCTTGTTTAATAATTGTAGTACTAAATTAATATGACTGCATGATCCATTATGCATATAAAATTATATTATATAAAAAAACAGATACGCTAAATGAAGAAGGCCGGGGCGAGATGTGCTTTTCAGAATTTCGGCGTTACCAATTATATAGCTTCTTTACATGCAATATTTGCATAACCAGTGTGTCTATTGAATATATATTATCCTTATGTCTTGATAAAAACATTTTGCGACGCTTTCACTATAATTTCTCACATAACTATATAAACAAAATAATTGACCAACATAACTTGGATCAACTTGTCTTCTCAACTAATCAATACAGTTTTCCCAATCCTATATATGCAACTAATAATTTTATTTATGTAAAAATTTTGTCTCTATGATGCAACTTGTTACTAGTGGAAATAAAAAGTTTCTTCTGTAAATACATTTGAGCTATCTTATGAGATTTTACATTTCTTTTTCATATTATTTTATACCGATTACTGATATATATGTAAAACCATTTTATATGACTTTTTCTTTACACCTACATAATATCAAGACGGATTAAGACTGTTTATCCATAATGAGAGACTTAGGGCAATATTTATTGTCGAAAAGATCTGGTTATGAATACCTAGTCGCCTAAGTAAGAGCCTTCATACACAAATTGACATAACAATAACGTAAGATATACCGTAAAAATTGACCAATTACGATCGAATATTCATAAAAATAGCGACCTTACGATTCGATGATTCTCAACATGATTGGTCAATTCTTACGGTACGTCTTACGTTACGACTACGGCAATTTGTGTGTAAAGATCCTAACTCCTATCCTGTCCGCATTTCGTAAGACAGCGACAACTCGAGTCAACGTGAGTAATCGGGTACTAAAGCCCTAGATTTACAGAGAGGCGATACTAAAATCTGTTATATCGAGGCTACATTCGGAGAAATGCTATTTAGCGCTATGAGTATGCTCTGTTACTTACTGAAAGTTGAACAAGGACAGAACGCGCTCAAAGTCGTCATTTTGTATGATAGCGATCTGTATAATTAATCTCAATGATTACTCTAAGAGAGTGGGAATGCTCACTTCATAATTAGCTTGAATTTTTCTGATATTATAATTTTGCATATGAAATAGTTCTGCTTGTGGAAACAATACGCTTGAGCCTTGTAATTCAAATAATCAATGAGACAAAACTTTTCAATGTCGCTTCTCGGTAAATCTAGGGCTTTATTAGCGAGCGAGCGGGAGTAAAAGAAAAAAATTGCACGTTTCTAGAAACATTTCTACCTTACCATTCTTATCTATATCTCTCTGATTAGTTAGAAGCAAGATTTCACTACAAAATCTGCAGTACACATACTGTATTAAATCTAACCTTTAGTATTTGCGACGATGAAATCAACGGTTTACATTGGACTTGCGTGAGATGACGCTGTCTATGTTTGCAAAATCGATCTATAATGGGAACAGTTGCTATTATTAGCAGATCCTTTCAGTGAGATTTTGCTGACCGCAGTGCTATATTTATAACTGAACCACCAGTTTTAAGTATAGCATTTCGATGAAGAATACATCGATTGATTGACTTGTACGATTGCATGATACGATTCGTGTATAAGATATATGCAAATAAATTATAACTATAATCACGGTTTACTCAATTTCAACTGATATCACTTCGCTACTATGTATCACCGTCCTACTGTGTTATTCTAATTGATATCACTTTGCTTCGATTCTAACTGACGTCATCATTGTCTTGTGATTTTGAGATCTCAATCAAGATCCAGTCAACAATCTCCAACATCAGCAAGAGGCACACCAGCATCTCTTGCACCATACGTCCCCTCTGACAACTATTCAGCACGGAACACAGAATAACCAGCACAAACCACGACAACATTCTCAGCATTTGTTGCATCATGCGACCTCTCTCACTACCCTCGAGCAGCAACAGCAGCATAGTCCCCAGAGCGGCCAACAGAAACGACCTTACTCGACATCCTCAAGTTCCTGCGGGAGCAGCGACGGCCTCGAATCGCACTTTGCGAATTCCATGAATTTGATACCTTCATCGGGTTATCATTCGTCACATCAGCATCATCACCACATGTCAGACTTGAACGAGACGAGCGGCGTCATTATGTATCCGAACTGCGGCTTCAATAACAACGATAGCTACAACGCCGCAGCGCTTCAACATCACGAGAGCTATCAGAGCCAGCCTCACAACAGCAACGGTGATGGCAACGCCACGATCAAACATTCTCATCATCAACTGGAGGCCTCGTCGTCAGCCGCTGGTTATACCAGCGTTATCGTCGACTCGCAGCAGTACAGTCCTAACACCATTCAAGACCTCCATGCGCATCAGACACCGGCAAGCGGCGGCACGCCGCCGCTGCATCATCAGCATCATTATGAGACGCATCATCAGTTTGTTCGCTGACACCAATTCGAGGTGCCCTGTGCGTAGCATTTTGACGCTCGTGACGATGGCGCATGCGGGCATCATCAGCATCATCATCATCATCATCATTGCAATCATCATCAGCAACGAGGGAAGCATCATTGCCCAATGTCGGAATGCAGCAGAGGACAGTGCGATGAGCAACGTGTGGATGGCGGAACTTATGCTGCCTCGGAGCCTCGCGTCACCTACGTCGCGCCCTACAAGCGATTCTCGAAGATGGAGGAAAGGAGCGTCGTGACGTTAAGAAGCAACTTGTAATTGTCGACTCGCTGACTCGCAGACGGTAATACAAATTCTACTGTTTGGGCTTGTTCTGTTCGACGTCCATGCATATTGCACAGTAATTATGATCCATTCGTTCTTTTCATCCTCAATTCTCGCGGTCTCTCGCTTGATAGAAGCGGCGGGACATCGTCCAAGATTTATTTCTCGTGTTGTAACGAATTTTTTTCTCGTGTTGTAACAGTTGCAGAAAGCCGAGTTACGGTATTTCAAAAAATCGGCATTTCAATAATTGGACCGTGCTTCGCAGGTGCAACCTGGAAACGTGTAATCAATTCTGTCCATAATTCCATGTCGCGCATGTTATTCCTTTGCTCGTATTATACTCGCGATAGAATCTCGATGCGACCTTACCGATTATAGGAACAATGAAATCTTTGTCAATCTTTTTGTCCCCATTTGATATCTATATGTTTATTTTTGTTGCGTATTATTGTATTGAAAAGGAACAAGAGGTTCGATAGAACAACATCGATCGTAGCGATGCCCATAATGCATGGAACCGATTCTAACATTGATGACCAAAAGCGCAACTTTGATGATATAGGCAAAGATTAGCTACGGGATCGCACAATATTAAATGTCAGCAGAAATGACACGAATGATCGTTTACACGTCGTAAAAACTACTGCGAGTGGTAGTAATATTTATCAATCTTTACGTATGTGATATCACTCTTATCGAGAGGCGACGGTAATTATTATTCGGCGATATTACAGCCATCACAGTCGAATACTTGGCCGATCGATACCGGCCGTTACGAGTACCATTAATCACATAGGAAGATGTAACGAACATTCTACGAACATGCACTGGACGCAAGTTCTTTGAGAACTTTTGCAAAGATTGATTAAAATGAGAGAATTTTACGGATGCACGCGAAGATGACGTATAAATTGTTTCAACTGTTTCAAATGTTGACAAAACGAAAGTTGAAGGTACATGAAAGGGTGACTATCTGAAAACTTTGAAATAAAATTTGATTACAGTCTTCTAATGGAGTACAAGGAAAGTCGCAACACTTTCTTTTCAATGAATATATTTTACAATGCATCCGTATCCATCAAAATCTGTTTTTTAGTGATACTCAGAAGATAAGTTTTCTAATTAGATGTCGAATACGTTTTGAAGTTTATCGAGATAAAAATATTGGCAACTTTTGTTCCACTAATGCTTGTTTCCAATCGATCAATGTCGATTAAACCTTAATCTGAGTTTAAATTTTTGTCTGAATAGAATTTAAGTTCAGGTTAAGGTGTTAAGGTTTAATTGACCTTGTAAAAACGGGCATAACTATATATTTTGTGGACATTGGAAATAGTAATTTTGTGTTCACTTTTTCAGTCGTACGCGTAGTTTTTGTGTTAAAATATAAGCGCCGGTGAAGCTATCGGCGCTGATGCTGTACATACCGATAAAGCGAGAGATTTCTTTTCGGACGTATACATGATGTAAATACGCTAAACGTTTCTATAAGTTGTTTTCTAATTAATTAATATAATGAAATGTATATAATTAGAGAGAAGAGGGAGGATTTATGATCCGCAAAGACTGACCAGTGCTCGTACCAATCGACCAAAGAAATACGCCCTTTTTATCGGAGAGAAGACTAGTACCGTTATATTTTTATTCTCGCTTATTTAATGAGCAAACAGCACTGTTGGAAAAAATACTGTTGGGATGTGTAAACGTTGTAAATAAAATCGTGTAGCGGGAGCCTTGGTATACTTCGATTGTCGCGAGATATTTTACTACCGAATAGAGAAATTGGTCATAATATAATCTATCATGTATAAACTACTATGTACACATATACGAACACAAAAATGCACGTGCGCGCGCGTACACACACGCACACACACACACACACACACACACACACACACACACACACACACACACACACACACACACACACACACACACACACACACACACACACACACACACACACACACACACACACACACACACACACACACACAGAGAGACACAAACATATTATTTATATTGATGTAAAGTGTGAAGTTTCGTAGCAAGAATTATGGTGAAATTAATTCCACGTTCAATTTTGTAAATATTGTAAAAGAATAACGCGTATTGCATGCATATATAAAAAAATATATCATATTTTCCTCTGAAAGAAATATTGCACCTTGTCGCGTTTTTCTCTTTTTATATTCCTGTCTCTATACATTGAGAAAACAAAATTTTCTTAATTTTAGTAAATATATTTAGTAAACTTCATATTCATTTAATTTTAATAAATAATACTTATATATAAAATTTCTTTACTTAATTATAATAAACTAAAGTATGAAAATTTGAAAATAATTATTTTCTTCGAATGTTTACTTCAACTTAATTTTGGCTCGCCACATTACAATTAATATTTATTGAAATGTAGAAAATGTATTTTGTAAATATTCTGAATTTAAAAGTTTTTATTAAAAAAGAGGAAGAGACATTTTAGTAAATGTTTGTTTTAAACTCATATTTCCAAACTGATGAAAATATAAGAAATAATATATTTTTCAAAGAGTACAATTTTACTTTCCAGGAAACGTATACTTGAATAAAAATACTTGAAAAGCTACTCTCTCTTTCTCTTCATTGTTTATTTGAATAATATTTAAAATATTCTAAATTATATTTACGTAACAGCAAGAGAGCGACAGAATAAGCGAATCTTGTTATTCTTATCCGACGAAGCATTAACAAACATGCCAGACAATACAGATAATTACGCTTCGCGAAATTCTCACGAATAGATTAAGAACGAGTGGGATCGCGCGCGAAAGCGATTCGTGTCGCACAGCGTTCGAGCTGGATCCCCTCGTTTCAAACACGGCCAGACAACGATCCCGCTTTCCCGCCGCGCAAACCCGATTGTCACGCGGCTGGCGCAAACAATAAATTAATTGTGCCTCGATTCTTCGGTTAGCTTTCGGCGGTCGTGTGCTTGCCGGCATGGGGTCTCTCGTGAAGAGGCACGTGTCACTTTATAATCGCCGTCTAACTTGCCTCTTTCTCTCTTTCTTGCCGTCGTTTCGCTCTGATCAGTCATCACATACGCGAATCGTACGATGAAGTGATACGTTTCCTCAGAGTCGACTTGTTTCATTAATGAACGACGTATTGCTCTTACAAACTCGGTTCTTTGTAAGGATAACGTAACGAAGGGACAACTAATGAACGGAGCGCGTAATTATTCGCTCTCTTAGGTCGAAGATGTCGACTCAATGGTGGCGAGACAATTATTTTGCAATTTAGTTACAATCCATATGACATGTGTCCCGAGTCGATCGAAACTTTCTGAATGATCACGCAATTTCACAGAATCGTGGTCGCATCCCGTTCAGCGAACGAAGAATTTAACGAGCTGCACGCGGCTTCGCAGTCCCGACATGTCGTCGCACACGACCGATAATGGCACCCTTCGTGGATAAACCCGCCTCTACGTTCTCATTACATCCATGTCGTGACTGGGGTATTCTTTCGTTTCACTCGTTTCTATCGCGACGAGAATTATCACGCTAAATCATTCAATTATTATATGTACACTTTGTGAATCAACAATCCTTGTGATTCGGATAACTTCCGATCCTCAAGTATACGACACTACGTTTGTATCGAAGCGATTTGCCAATCGTAGTAAGACACTCAATTATTTACATCCCCTTTTAGCCATTGACACTTTAGAAAAACCTGCTTTTCCTTGCGGTCAGCAGTATCTGCTCACAGTATTAATTATGGAGATGTCTTTTGAAAGCACAATAGAGGGGCATAATGGGTTATTTTGTTTAACAGATTTGATAGAATTGCAAATATTTTTGCCTTTTAAAGATACTCAATTCCGTTGTGCTGGGAAATATTCCTAATGTTTCTTATGTTGCAAAAAAGGAAAAACAAATTTTTTCAGTATGTCAATGACTGTAAGGGATGTCAATAATTGGGTATTTTACCACTGAATAAATATCACTAATCTCATTTGCGTGAGTACAGGTATACAAACAAAATATTGTTCTTTCTGACAGATCTAATCAATGATAAATGCTCGTTAGTATAATAATAGAATGAAATAGACTTTTGTCATTATATACTATCGCGAACGTGCCGCTCATGCACAGCGCGGTGATTATTTATAACGCGCGAAAGTAGCATAATACATCGAAAGTCGGCTCCACAGGGTCCCGTGAATAGGAGGCCGAGTCGAACAGAGTAGGCTGTGGATAATTGCCCTGCCACGCCGAGTGGTTTTGTTTCTTTTCGCGTGGGTCGCTCGTAAAAATACGAGACCTGAAAGGCTTCAACTTTTATACGTCTCCGCGTCTATTCTACCCCGTAAAATGCACGAGTACCGTGTCGCAAGCGCGGCCCTTGTACACTCGCTAGGTTTCCCGTGGTTTACTCGTTGTTAAAATAACATGACTCTGGGGGAAACAAGCGAATATCACTTATTTAGACATTCAACCCGAAGCGTTGAACGATTTGTTCAACAATTATCGATTCGATTCCGGACTAAAGCCCAAAAAAATAAGTCGGAATTCTTTTAACTAACATGTGACCTTCTTCTATCTTCTTTTATGATTTCGTCACGTTAATTTTACTGCTGTTTATTGATTATTAGAGTAAAAGAAAATTGACTATTTAATAGATTTACTCGATCGATTGCAAATATCATTTTATTTCAACGCATTTTGCAAAAGTTTTAACGTGTATTTTCATGTTTCTGACGTAACGAATCAAGATGGTCGCGACGAGAGACTTTAAGCTCCGCGATTTCATCACGCTGTGAAATTTTCCAGACTTTTGTTACTTTTAGTACGGGCAATTCATTCCCCGATTACATCGCGGCGAAGAATAATATTCCGCACGTGACATCCCAAGAGCGACATATGCATCGCTCCTACCGAGAGGGTACAGTTATCCCCGACGATTAGCAATATAAACGTAGATTTTGGGGGAGACAGGATTTCAAGCAAACTAAACACTCGACAGGTTACGTGCGCTATAGAAATATTTGTACCAAGGGACGTGCTATTTACTTATCATAGAAATGCGAATTAGGAAGATTTGTAGGATTGCAGTATAAGCCACGATGCACTCGGACGAGGAGCAAGCGTGTGTGTCGATGATACGTGGCCACTTTATGCTATTAATATTCCCAACACTTGAAGACTCTTACGCGCTTGATATAATCACCTCTCCTTATAACATACGTTCGCAAATTTTTCGTATCGAAGTCGATTCGCAAGTTCATGATGGAACAAAGATTACCGAAAACCGGGATGAAACGATCTTTGAGACGAGTGACGCGCGAATAACGCGCCGAGACTATAACTCCGTCCATGTGGATGGATTACCGCGAAGCGAAAATCGGAGATCTCGGTGACGACGCTTGGTGCCGTCGACGCCGGTAAATCTAGCGTATAACCGGGGAAAGGCAAAGGCACGGTAAGGTAAGGCAAGGCAAGGGCGGCGCGTTGGATGCTGCTGAACACACGCGCGCACAGAGGTGTGTATCGGCGGCGAGCCTGCGCGCAATCGGGGGCGAAGGGGCAGCTTTAGCAGAGTCGTCCCCGCGGTATCCAGGACGACGGCACGCAACGCCGCCCACAACCCCCGGGCTGTCTTGTCCGATGTGTTTGCTCGATGATTTTATACCAATTACGGCCTATCCCTGTGCCATTGCCTACACTACTGGCGTATCTCTACCGGCGCCGCCGCCGCCATTGCCGTGCTCGCGTGACTCTGTAACGGCACTTCCGCAACGGAAGCGACGGCCAAGTACCGCAGGAAAGACTGCGAGTATAGGGTCGTAGCTATCGATACTACCCGGTATCGGGAGGCATTGCTATCGGTAAGTACTCAAATATCGGTGCGTTCTTTTAAAATGTCAGTATCGAGAGCAGATCTGTTTCCTACAATATATTGCGAATTTTAAGTAATATTCATATCAAAATCGTGAGACACACGCCTGTTAATATCTTTATTTGGCATTTGCTGAACTTTACGATCAACGATTCTTTATACGATATTTTACTAAAATATCAACTTCTCATGGCAATCAATTGAGGAGCTTAAAAGCTTAATCTTTTCTTTTTACTCTCCTCTCTTTTTCAGTGAGATTAAACGCACAGAATAAAAGATGTACATAAATTAATATCATCGCTATGTGGAAAAACATTCAGAAAATATTTGATGTTTATACTGGAAAATAATCAATTATTTATTATGATTTTCTCTCTCTCTCTCTCTCTCTCTCTCTCTCGTGTACTTGTGAATATAAATATCGCACTGTAAATGAACTACTTTCGCTTGCGTTTCAATTTAGTTCTCATACATGTTACCCTGTTACCTTACTATTATGCTACCATATAATAAATATCGTAAACAGTAGATTCGTAAAAATTTACACAATTGCCCCAATCCGTCTGATATTCCTTCTGTGCGATATAAATAGTTACTTTTCAGTATATGTGTATCATCAGTTAACTTAATACGAGATTATCTTTGGTATATCGCACATTATTATAATTGTTATATAAATATCTATATATATTTGTATATGTTGTGGTTATATCAATTTACAAAAATAAAAACGTTATCGCGTGTCAAGTCGAAGACTAAGCGAGCCGAATTTAATTTTATCTTTTATTCATTAAAAAATACTGTCGCGGTATTAGGCATAATAACCGTGTAAAGTTTTCTTTGGACGGCCTCTCGATTCTTTTTTAATTTTGCAAATAGTGCAGTAATTTCAGAGCGCCGTGTATAATTTCGCTGCGATATAAAAGTACATATAGTGACATCTATACAATCCTCCTCGGTAAACTGTACCGGCGATTCGAGTGGTCGATAAGGTAAGCGGCAATCAAAATTGTACACACAGCATTAATGACACACGAATAAAGGAATCTTATTTGTATGTGTCATCTCTTCATCGAGATATTTTTCGTTATGCTTCACTGTTTAACTTCCACTTCGATAATTGGAGATGTTGCGCATCAATGAAAGATAATACAACTAAGAGAGTTGACTTCGTAGAATTGCAGCCTGATTTCCGTAGTCAAATTTTAACTTTTTACAAATTGTATTTCATGTCGCAGCCAAGTATCGTAAGCATGAAAATTTTCAGTATACTAAGGATTATTTTCACAAGAATCCCAACGATTGCAGGAAACTCGATTCTAACTCTAATTATTGTAATTGCGATAAAAAAAAAGATTGATCTCGATTATTAATCTTTCAATAAGTCAAGATTGCACATTTGGTACCATATTACAATAAGTTATACAACGAAAACCTGTAGACTTTGAAGGATAAATATATACACTCAACAACACATAACAATTCTTATAATGATTTAAACTAAAACGATAAATTACTTAATCATTATTCGATTTTATAATTGATGAATTGGCATGAGTAAACGCATCAGTGGCTTGACCGATTGTTACATGGAGTAGACGCGTCAATTTGATCGATGAGTTAGAATTTCGATCGAGCCTCGTGGTAAGTCCCATATTGGATGGAATTCTTGTTCTTGCCCAACTCCTCGTCGAAATTATTGGTCCCGCTATACATGGAAAAGCCACGACGAGACAGCAATTCTCCTGGCACGATCGTGGGATTGGTGTAACAAAAGTCCGCCATCATGTTTGTCTGCCTGTTTAGTTGGTTGGACCTAAATCAATTTTCAGCTTCAACCTCGGCGATCGATCGTAACGAGAGGAATAAGAATACACAGAGAAAAAGGTTCCTTTGGATCTAACATTTTCATTTGTTTGACCCAACAAAATAATTTTATGTCAAACAATTTTATATAATTTTTTTAGATTAAATTGTTGTTTGATGGAAAAACTGTTATTTAAAGGGCATTTTCCATGAAATAATATATTATTTGGTTATATTTTAAATTTTATTTTGTTAGACTAAATTATGTTATTTGATTGAAAAAAGAAAGAAAAAACTATTGTTTCAAATGTCTCGTCTTTCAATTTATTGTTTATATGAACCAACATAATATTTGCTTAAAAATCCAAGAACAATCATAATGTCATTGGTTCGCTAATGTACATTTTGTCAATATACTTTACATATCGACTGCTGTTCCATTGTTTTCAACAATTATCAGTAAACATGACACGAAAAGAACTTTTTTGGACTCTTGGAAGAATTATTATAAGCATAATGCTATATCGTCAGAATTAGTTAGAATATATGAATATTTGAATGAAAAATCTCGAGAAAGGACTCAAATTATCGAATTTTTTTTTTTTTAGTAAAATGGGAAAATATATTATATATATATATATATATATATATATATATTGAGTGAAACATTTTTCTTCTTTGGACCAAACAAAATTATTTGAAAAGCCAAACAATCGTATCTATTGATTAAAACACATTAGTTTTTTCCATTCTAATCATCAAATTTGTTTAAATGCAATAAATTTTATTAAAGAAATCCTTTTCTCTATGTGCGAACGAGATTACAATCGAAAATGTTTCATGGATATCACAACATTTACAACCGTAAGTAATATTGAAACTATGAGTAAGTATCTGAAGAAATCATGAAACGACACGTCAATTAAAAAGAATTCATACTTCCCCAGGTTCCGTGGCAAAGTGATTCAGAAGAAAAAGAGATATCTTTGAGACGTGATGGAAATTATACAAACGAAGGAAGGAGGGGTCGAGGGATAAATCTAAATCGACAACGCGAGCGAAGAACTCGCTACAGACTTACACGGAAATTGGAAATTACTCACGACCGAAATCAAGACGACTTCTTGTCAACAAAATTATTACCTTACATTCTTAAACGAGATAAGTTAAATGACCGCATCACGAGCAATAAAGATACGCTATCAATGATCTTGCCGTCGGTTAGGTGAGTCATAAATGAAACGTTTATATTTCAATTTTTACGATAGAAAAACGCGAAAAATTCTGCCAATCCGCAAGTGTGAATCACTTATTCGCCCTTTTTTCGCAGATGTACCGTCGAATAAACAAGTCGAATAATCTGAACTCACAGCGAAATGTCGAACTATCGTGTATTGTCGCTAATGTTGCCGATTTTTACATACAACAACTATCTATGGGCAATTGCATAAGTTTGAACTTGCTGCAGTAAACAGCTAGTAATTGATTGAGCTAGTATCTCGGTTGTCTTATATTGATCGATTCTTCGTTACTCGTATTTCATCGAATAGATTCTATAATCGAAGCAAAAACTGAATAATATCTCTTTTTATAAAGCAAAGTACGAGTAGTTTTATAAAAGGCATATGTCGAGATTACGTGGAAATATGTGAAAGAACTGTTTATTAGCAGACGTTCATCTTATGAAAACGTTACACGACGTTTCGATCGGACAGTAATATGTATTTAGCTAGAGTATGATTTAGCTGCGGAAATTTTGAAACATGTTACGCGAGCGCGGAGACACGCAGTACTCTCAGTTGTCGAAAGCATTTTCACCAAGGCAAAATATTACTCGTTTAAAAATGGTTCGTATTTAAAGCTGAATTTAAAGTTTAATCAATTTGAACGTCTATAACGATCGTATATTAATTCCTGATCTCGTGAAACATCAATTCGATTAATATTTACTAAAGTACTCCAATCTAAAGTAACAACAGAAAAATACCGTTCCGCTTAGAAAAGTGATTGCTTTTCTTCTTTCAAGTAATGGTTTGTCTTCAACAAAGTGTATTTTCTTGATAATAGTCTTAAAATATCACAAATTTGAGAAAAGTTCATTATCATGGACACAAAAAGAAGAGTATATTATCTTTCATTATAAAACTTTATCAAAGAAAAAGTTGGTTCAACTCTATGTAAAAGAGAGAGCAAGCACAAGAGTTTTTTTTTTAATTTATATTATTGACTGAAACGCTACAAAGAGCAACTAGGTTTTCGAATATATTTTAGGGGGAAAGTAAACTTGAATATTTTGACGTTTACAAGTGACATTTACTTGAGTGCAATATGTATTTTTCTGCGTGTATCACTAACGAAGCCTTCAATCGTCGCTTGGACAAGAACAAGCGATACTCACCCGTCCCGAGCTAATCGATTTACTTTCACAAATAGCACGATCACCAAAATGAAAAGAGCGATAAGCGCGACAGCGACGACACCACACGCAATGTAAAAATATAGCATCAAGTCATCGACAGGGTCCTAGAAAGAAGAATACAAAATCACTTTCTCCTTGGAAAAAAGAAAGGAAAGGGGAATGTTAAATCAATGTATAGCGAGTGATTCGAAGACTTCTCATCGATGCGAATCATGTTAATTGCGTCTATTTATCCACCTACAACGCCGATATTCGCTTCCTCAACGGATTTCGCAAAATCTACACTCGATTGTACTCGCAACAACTCCGACGTCAACATTGTTCGCGATTGCTACAACTTCAAGAATGAAACGCACATACCCCTCCGCGAGTCTCTGTTTACAAGGATTTTCCAGGAATTTATCTCATGAATATCTGTCTATCGCATGTTGCATCATTTGCACCATCCGGCCGCGCACATTTGCATCTCTAATAATGAGGTCTGTGAACGGACGCGATCGATTACGCTGTAGCGTATTGGAATCTATGTAAACACTTATATCTTCATTCTACTTGAGCAAAAAATCCGAAAGCAATTCGAAAATAAACGATCGATCGTTCTTTTTAGCGAGCTTCGAACTTCTCTGCTCAAATACTGTTCTTATCAAGGTAACTCTAAAGATTAATCTACAAGTATGCTCTTGTCATTCCTCATGGAATTATACAGCTATCGTCCATTAAAGAAATATTTGCTCACCGATACGGAGCTATTGACGCTCTATTCGAGATAATATAGCGGCTCTGAGAGTTCTGATTTTAGTAGAGCACCTGTATCTAATTCCAACACGAATAAAGTTATTTTAAACCGCGCAAATTACTCACGAGTTCTTTACACCGTAAACATCTACTGTAAGATATATCGCGCGTGTGCGACGGTAAAGACGTTTGATCGAGATTAACACGTGACACGAAATTAAATGCTTATCCGGACTCACACACGACACAAGCTAGATACAAGTTGAAAATTTACGTCGCAAGATACGCCGAATAGCAACTTCGCTTTATCGTAAAGTCTACGTTGAAGACATGATTTTTTTTCAACGATGTCGCATAAATGATCTACGACAAAGTATGCTGTATCACTGATAATACTTGAGCTAATTCCAAACGTTCGCGGCAAGAGACACGAGATGCAACTAAGAATTTCAATTAGGTTTCCGCAAGGAAAAACCTCGCGACTCCATGCATAGCACATATTCACGCGAACGACTCGCCAATTCGGTCAAGGATCGGATCATTCGAGATATGTAAACACCGAAAGTGGGAGAAACTATTATGTACTTACCATCGTGAGTATATCGAGCAGTAGAATGCACGAACACACACCTTGCACGCGCGCGCAAGTCGTCCCGTGTAAGATGTCGTGCGCTTGCTCAAGATATCAAGATATCAGTGCGTTATCGCGATCGTCCGCGTATCTTTCGTAGCACAATGACATCGTAGATCCCAAAATATTCCGAGTACTCCTCATGGAGCTCTACTTGCGCTCGCCGAACATTCCGAAATGAAATATTGGGTTCTCTCGATTTCGACTCGAGAGACCTTGTGAGGATTCACGACAATCCGTTCATCTGTGGCGAAGGTAATAGAGGAAATCGAGATGCCTCAAGAGAGAAAACTGGGGGAGAGGGAGAGACAGAGAGGGATAGAGTGAGGAAAGAGAGAGACTTGGCCGCAACTTTTTCGTTATCGGTGCGATTAACGATACCAAGGGACGATCTGCGTCGTTCTTGTACGACAGGTGTGGGAAAGTCAAACGAGTACTAAGCGACGTCGTCGAGAGCTTGGTAAAGTAAAGCGATGTAACAGTGCCAGCTAAGCAATGCTGGACGCTGATAAACCCCTCCAAAGCGATCGGTGTATGGCGCGGGGATGCGTGTGCCTCGCACAGCGCAGCTCACCTTTGTGCTCATTTACGAGATGCATCTTTGTCGTGTGCCGCGTCGCGTCGCAAATATTTGCTGGCAAATTTGGTTGTCGATATCGTTATTGTTATGCATTCGATTGACATGAATGTTGATGCTGTGCAATGATATGTAACATTTGCCTGAATATCTAAGAGAAGATTTGATCGTGAAGATATTGGTAATATCGCGAGAGAAAGAAGAAAGTAAACAATTAACTAATGCTACATTTTATACAGTTAACAATAATATTGATTGTTCCCGTTTACTAGCGTCAATAAATTTTAACGCCTGCCCGTGACTGTCTTTTTTTCGTCCTCCATTGTACAAAAATAATTTGCTTAATGCAGATCCCATAACGCGAATATGCTTCTTCTGCCAATCTCTTAACTTATACGATTATTTTTCAGTATCTGTTGCGTTATTTAATCGTCATATAATTAGTTAATTTGTAATTTTGTATTCCAGTATATAAATACTATTTTTATAATGCTTGTGCGTACAAAATATACACAGAGAGAACAATTTGGTTGAATCAGATAAACACTTCTTTGGAATAATTCAAACAAATTTTTTGATTCAGCGGACAAAATTTTTTTGACGCAACAGAAATATTTATTTGCGGTTTAGTTCCAAAGAAATATTTTTGTTGTGTTAACCAAATAATTTGTTTGGACTATTCCAAAGAAACACTTATTTGATTCAATAAATCGTTTTCTTTGTGTATATGTTGTTATTTACGTATTTGATGATATAACGTTCTCTCTCTAACCAAGTTTGTATGTCTCTCTTTTCAGCACTATCTTGGATCAATTCGTGCTTGTTTATATAAAGTAAATCTTATTTAGTAGGTCATGAGTACAAAAGTTATTATTTTTAGGTTACAGAGAGAACTACTATTTATGTATACAAATATATCTCAAAAATACACTTAATGTGACACGTCATTTTTTCCCATAATTTCTCTTTTATTAGATAGTCTTTATAATTCTTATTATTCTTGTTATGAATATAACACAAGTAATTATACGTTTATCTAACATATCCACAAATTTACATATATTGTCGTGCCTCAAATATATCGGATTTTGATATGTATAATCCATGTCGAATATTATTATTTCTCTTGTCCCGAAGAGCAAAAATATTTCACTTACTCCGATTTCATTCTCTCTTACACAAACGGGAGAAACGAAATTACCGCCAAATACAGGTAATCACTGTTTTTCTATTGGTTGACCGTAAGGCATCATTCGTAAAAATCCAGCTTGCCGAATTTTTTGTGGTTATGATTACGGTCTTAAAGTTTTTCACTTGCATTGCTCCATTTGATTGTATGTGTTGAAAATTTACGGAATTAATTTTACGGTTAAGACTTTTTCACATGCAAAGGCTTTAACTCTCCATATATAATCACATTTTTGGGATATAAAGTACAATTTAGGTCTGTCCAGGAAACTTTAAGTTTGCCTTAATTTTGTTGAAAATCAATATTATTTCTTTTCCAGGAATGTATAAAAGCTTCAGATGAGATAGTAGTGTGAATAGCGTGATAAAATTAAAATCTACAGCCAGACTAAGACTATTTTGAAATAAATGGAAAAAATTCCTTAAGTCAAATGCTATACTCGATGCACAATAAACAGCAAGTATTAGTAATGTAACATCACCGTTATGTCACACACAATAATGCAACTATTGTTACATAACACTATATATATTCTGTAACAGTTACATTGTTGCGTGGGGCATTATAACATCAATATTACTGATATTTGATGTTTATTGAGTGATATATAGTATATACTATCGATTACAAAATCAAACCTCATTTGTTCCAAAATTTTATTCGGCGGATAGCACTCAATTGACCAATTATGATGAAGAAATCTTAATTATCTTTGTTTTAATTGGTCAATTAAATGCTATTTTACTCGTTAGATAGAGTTTTGGAACGCAACTCTGCTGAGTTGCAGGGAATATCGTCGGCGTTTTGTATAAAAATGGATATCGAAATATATATGCAAGAGTAGAAAACAAATACACGTGGGATTCGCCCGTAAATTCTATTCAAACTTTTCAACTCGTTCGCAATAATCTAGCAACAATGTAAAAATGTCCACATTATTTACTCTTCTTTTATAAAATTTGTCTTCTTTTTAGATGAGTAAAATAAAGATATTCCGTTAATTTTACCCTTAAACTTTAAGTGACTGTTATTTCTATTTGTGTGTAATTGAAAGAATGATATGTAATAAGTAGTTGACGTACAGGTACTCTTAATGTCTGACCAGTCAGACATTCTCTGCATATAATATATAAATCTCTCATATGTCAATGAGAGTAACATTACTATCATTCTTCTCTGCAAAAGTATGCAGACTTGAGAACCAATACAGTAGGTAAGGAAGGGACATTTCAAGACTCACGTATAAGTAGTAAGGAAGTGGAGGGGTGGATCCAAAAGGACAGAACCACAGACCTCTTCTGGTACCATCTCGTATATGATGACTTAAAAAGGCAGCCAGTATTATCCAAGAAGACTGTTCTAACTCTGGAGAATGGAAAATACCGGAAAGTAGGATGAGAAGTAGCCACAGGATAAAGGGAACTGTAGTACAGTGTAGGAATGGTCGCTTCTCCAAATGCGTAGCATCCTGAAATAATACGGTGAAGTCAGAGTTTTAGAAAACAATATATATATATATATATATATATATATATATATATATATATATATATATATATCTCTTTTAATTTGTACATATTCAACTAATATCAATTAATATCAACAGTGACATTATATCAATTAACACCAATTAAATTAATTAATATAATGTTACTATTACTGTTTATTGTTTAATGTTACTGTTAGTGTTTACTGTATATTAGCAAATATTTTGTATTTGTGTTGAAATTGATCCATGTGGAAATAGATAAATAGTGTTGCTTGTTAACATATTTGTGTTAAATTAACAGAAAAACATAAATATTGAATAGAATGGATATAGAATGGAAATTGGAACATGTGAAATATGTTAAATTTAGTACAAAATTTTTTGCAGCAGAGTATATATATGCATACTTCCACACTATTTTTGTCTAAAAAATTCATATTCTTTATAACTATTCTCATCATGATTTACTGACTTCATCAATTTCTTAATCGCAATATCGTTTTCAAACATTTATTTATATTACGGCATCAAACATATATTCATCACTCACATGGATATGCCAACTGTGCGCCGCAATAAAATGATCCAGATCAATGAAGGATGCCAGTAGGAAACAAGAAAATATAGCGTTCAGGTTACGCACGAAGGATTTTCGCGACAGGACAATAATCAGCGTCCACGTAAGACCGCCTATCACTGCGTGTGTTGCATTGTCAAATACCGCGCGCTGCGCCTCGCTTTTACCGTACTTGAGGCCGAGGTCGCCAAGCATCGAACAAGCGCCGATTGCGCACGTCAAAACCGCGCGTAACCAAATCTCACGTTTGCAACACATCGCGCAAACCTCGCTCACCGAAATTGCTCGGTGATATCGTCGACTCGATATCGTGACGTCATATTGCACACGAGCATTTTTAAAGTACGAAGATTGCAAATTAAATGTTACTGTCGATTTCCGCCATCTTGACTATACTTGTGGTCTATTCTTTTTAATTGTACTAAAGGTCGATTGTTTCAATCTCTTGTGCCCGTCTTCACCAATGGTGACATCAGCTGATTTCAGCCAGAGAGAGGTAGGATTGGGCAAGTAAAATACTTAATGTAAATTCATTGAACTCAATAACATACTGGGGTTCAGATTCCTTACCGGGGTGCACTCGAGAGCGTCCCGATTGACCACGGTACTATTGGACACAACCAACCGATGCAAAGAATTATTTAGTGAATTACTAGGTCGAACTAATCATTATAGGCTGCGTTCGGAAACATCACTCTCTCGTGTGTTTTCGTGATTTTAGTGGGAAAGTAGTGGGGGTATCGTGTGTCGAGTAGGGATGGGCGATACAGTAGAAAGTATTCAACTTCAACTTCAATATCTGGCTCCAGGCTTCTCTAAGAGTTATGCCCCAACGCCATTTTTCCGATTAATGATCTATATCGAGAGTAAAGTCTTGGAAAATTCTACGTTCCAAAAAATCACACGGTCCGAACGTGTTCGAACACGTCTTGTCGTGACGGCGGTTAGGCCAGACAGTAGAAAGTATTGATATTTCGTATCGAAACTCTCTCTCTCTCTCTCCCTCTCTCTCTCTCTCTCAGTATTGGTTCCCGGAGCCCTTGCGGGTTAGTTCCTAAACACCATTTTCCACATTCGTATCGAAACGTATTGTAAATAAAAGTATCGATATATAAAAAAATATCAGGTGGAATGTATTGATATTAATGATATCGAGATATTATCGATATCATCTAACCTTTTTCAATATACCGCAATATAATTATAAATAATATTAATTTTATTTATGCATGAGTTGATATATTGTTTAACATATGATTACATACAATGTTACGTACCTATAGTGTAATGTTATTATATTGTAACTTATATTGTAACATGTTGAGAAAATTTTCAATTTGTAAAAATACATTACTATTCCCTTTCTTATTAAACAAAATTCAACCAATGAAAAGTCAGTAGGAAGATCAGTGACCATACATTTATTTCCTTTTTCTAGATCTGTTAACATAAAAGATCAAAGACATTTTGTGCATTTCCGTCCAATAGAATATGTCAATCTATTTTATGGACTATATCAGTGCTCATTATTGGTTTCAGGGATTATTCAGTCGATACCCCAACATTACCAATTTTAAGGAAAATATAGGGAAAATATAGAGTTTAGGCGAGACATCTGTTACGGCTCCTGCACACAGGACGTAGTAATGCTTGCCGCGCGGCGGAAATCCGCGCGACAGCCAATCAATATGTAGTTTTTCCGTAAGAGCTAGAGGGTTATTACGGAAAGCAGCATATTGATTGGCTGTCGCGCGAATTTCCGCTGCGCGGCAAGCATTACCGCGTTCTGTATGCAGGAGCCATTAGAGGACTTGTTTAGTTGTACACGGACTGTATCGTAAGTTCGATATTCCTATCCAAATATCGATATATGCTAATATCGAAAGATAGAATATCGATACAAAATATCGATAATGAAGCCTACAAGTATTGATATTTGAAATATCGATATTATATCGCCCATCTCTAGTGTCGAGTGTTTCCGAACTGGTAATGGTGTTAGGGTTTTTATATTTAATCCCTGGAACCAATATTGAGCACTGAGCACTGTTTTCGAACGCTTTCAAGTGTGTCTTTTAATATAAACTAGGGGTCTGTTTTCTGTTTTTGTACTGTGAAGTGATGCGATAACGAAAAGGTTATTGGTTTGTTCTTTTCTAATGAACGTAGTAAAGGTGCACTTTATTAGATGGCGTCTCGCTCTGGCCATTGAAATCAGGCCGCTCTTATGCTTATCTCTGTTTCTACACGTTTTTCACATGTGTGAAATATTTGATTGACTTGATATCAGTTTACATTATGTTAATATGAATGCATTTTTATTACTGGCTTATGATTATTTTAATTAATAATATAAATAAGCATAGTTGTTGATGCGTTATTAAGTAACGAAACATTATGAGTAACAGTGTGAGAACTTCAATTTTGAGAAAGGTATATTTTTATATGATTATAAGACATTTGTTAGAATCAATTAGGTTAAATTATTTGTGAAGTTTATTCCATGTATTATGTATATATATATACATATATATATATATATATATATATATATATATATATATATATATATATATATACACACATATTTTAATCACATCTTGTTTGCAGATAACAGAATCTTTACAAAATGCTAATAATATAAATGTATATAATATTGCATCTTATGTACGTCTAGCAGCATATAAAGGAAATGGAATGTATTCATTTCTTCTTCCTCTGAGAACTAAACAGTATGATATTCAGAATGAAGCACAGAATATTATAAATAATCAAGATGATATTTTTGGCAATATCAATATAACAGATAATATAATCTCTTTCAATATCTCCAGAGAAAAGTGCATTAAAAAAGTTTTGGAACATAATCGTTTTGTGGTATCAGCCCCAATTTTCACAAATAATAAGAAAAATATAATAGTAGAATTTAGTTCACCTAATATTGCAAAACCCTTTCATGTAGGACACTTAAGATCCACAATTATAGGAAATTATGTCGCTAATATCAGTAGTTTTGTAGACAATAACAATGTTAAGAGATTAAATTATTTGGGTGATTGGGGCACACAATTTGGTTTGCTTCAATTGGGAGTTAATATGACAGATATTGGTGAAAATGAAATGAAAAAAAATCCTATAAGAGCCTTATACACAGCATATGTTACTGCCAATAAATTGGCTGAAACAGATCCTTCTATATTGGAACATGCAAGAGATATATTTAATGACTTAGAAACTGGAGCAGGAGTTACAGGTGAACAATGGAAAGCATTTAAACAGTACACTGTCGAAGAATTAAAGCGGATTTATAGTAGAATTGGTATCATATTTGATGAATATCATTGGGAATCAATGTACAATGCTAAGAATATAGAGAAGATAATTACATTAATGGAAAAAATGCAATTATTAACAACAGATGAAGAAAACAGAAAAATTGTGAATCTTAACAATGGAAAATGTGTCCCTATCATTAAAAGCGATGGTTCTACTTTGTACATAGCCAGAGATATCGGAGCAGCTATAGATAGATTTGAGAAGAATAACTTTGACTGTATGTATTACGTGGTGGATAATACACAAATTTTTCATTTCTCAAATTTGTTGGAGATATTGAAACAAATGCAAATACCATGGGTGGATAAATTAAAGCACATAAGATTTGGTCGAATACATGGTATGTGTACGAGAAAGGGAAATGTAACGTTCTTGGAGGATATTTTGGATACTGCTAGAGATATCATGAAGCAGAGACAATTACACTCACCTAGTATGTAATAAATTATAAAATATCATTCGAGTAGATAGCTGTATTAATAAATTTTTGTTTTAGCCACTAAGATTTCTATGAATTTGATGGATGATAGCTCGGACGTATTGGGCATTTCAGCGATGATAATCAATGATTTGAAGCGAAGTCGGCAAGGAGATTATACATTCGATTGGGACGCAGCACTTGACGTAAGCTAGGCAATCGCAGATTACCGCGAAATAATTTTACGTGCAATGTATTAATTAGTCTCTTGATTCTTTTCTTTAATGTAAGGTCAGTTGAAAGGAGATACCGGTGTGAAATTGCAATATACACACTGTCGTCTGGTTAATTTGGAGCTTAATTGTGGCGCAACTTTAACTTCGGAGTGTGAGCCAAATTTTTTACGAGAAGATGTCGTCGATGATTTAATCATGTTAATTGCCAGGTTCGAAGAAGTAGTATTGAAATCATACAAAGAAATGGAACCGCGCGTGTTAACGATATATCTTTTCAAGCTGTGGTACGTTATAAGTCCTACCGAATGTTTTCCATAGTTAATTGACTAAAATATAGTTAATGTTATTTTTTTGTTATACAGTAACGCTATTAATAGGGCCTTCAAAACGTTAAAAGTAAAAGGCGAATCGCCAGATGTTGCTAGCCAAAGACTCCTGATGTTTCGTGTTGCTAAAAATGTTCTCGCACAAGGCATGAAATTACTTGGCTTAACACCTTTGGAAAAGATGTAACAGAATAAAGAGACAATAAGTTAAAACCGTGTATCGTTTATGATCGATGGTACTTGTATAAAATGCTATCATGTACAAAGAAAGCGAGCTACTATTATAAAAAGAAGAAAGAAAAAAAAGACAATTTCTTTTAAATTGTACAGTGATTCTTTTTCAATAGCATCGTTTAGTATGAATTTATTGTATATGTAATGTAAAAATTATAAATATTGAAATAAACAAATCAACGTTTGTTCCAGGAGAACTTCCTTCTGGCGCCTTCTTGACCCCACTTCTTCCTCTCGCGTCTTCTCGGGTCCCTCGTCAGAAGTCCAGCTGTTTCGAGATGATAGTTCAATTTTCTATTATCTAAATATATGCGTGCATCTATTCGGAACACATGTCGATAGATACACTTGCAAGTTTCTCTATCGGATCAATTATTCCTTACCTACTCGCATTTTTTCGATCATTGGTTTATCAACAAAGCTACGCAAGCCCCAGGCAATACCCCAACGCATAGCACCCGATTGACCAGTAGGCCCTCCACCAGTAAGCGTAGCTTCGATGTCCACTTTATCGATCATGTCTGTGAATAATAACGGAAATATAACCTGAAACAGACATAAAAAAATTATTATAGTATAATATTATTAAATATCTAAGACAATCTTATAGTTTCATCGTGACGTTCAAGCGACTGCTAAAGGTCAAAATTAATTCAACCGAAAGAACACATTTTATAAGTTAAATTTAGAGATTTTTATAATAAGATTTGATATTTCTCGATGACACGAAGTTGGACAAATTATTCTTAAATGTACTTTTTTTATTTAGGATAAGAAATTGAGAAATGTGTTTATAAGTAGAGTATCTATAAACATGTAAAAATTAAGAATGTTTACTCTAATTTAAGGGATAAAGACACAATTTTCTAAATAATAATGTAAATTTCGATGATTGAATTACACAATGCAAATTTTTGCTCAAACTACCGACAAATCGTCTTGTTCATGGCAGATCATTTAGTTCATGATGAGGTACACTCTCCTCTTGTTAACGTCGTTAAAAGAGTTTTCAACATTTTGTTCATTTCTATTAATTCTACTTTCAACAATTTCACAGCATCTTCGTTCACTTTCACCGTAGTGATCAGTTTCTCAATCGCCGTGTGCACAGCAGTGTCGGACAACTCCTCGTTTTGCCGTTTTATCCAAGCGACATGATCGCTCAAGCTGACATCGTCGTTCATGAAGGGGATATTCTTCTGTGCTATTTCATAAGCGGCTTTCAATATATCTTTAGGCAATCGTTTCTCCAGAGGATTAAGCGGCTTCACTATGAGCACTCGTTTCCGGTTTTCAACGTCAATCTTATGATCCGACATCCATTTGCGGAAAGCGTACGGGATCGTCGCGTTGTGTAGAATCATCTCTGTGAAGAGTATCAGTTTTGTCTGTCTTACTAACTTTGTGAGTCCAGCATGGTTCCTCAGACCCTGTATATCATGCACGGCGATACCGACCAACAGGTTCATCAAAATAACGGTGACGAACACTATGAATAGCGTGAAGAGAATTTGCGAGCACACCGACAGAGGATGATAAATGACAAAAGAACCGCTCGCTGGCTTGTCCGACTGACTGATGAGCCCCTCAAAGTCCAGCTCGCCGGCCATCATCGCCAGGACCTTGATTAGACCGGTGAAAGGATTGCCGAACGCGGGCTCACCCGAGAATATCACGCAGAAGCTAATAGTGAAGCCGATCAGCAATCCTGAGTATGCTAGTAGAAGTTTAGCGAATTCAAATTGGATATGAGTGAACATGGCGACGTAGGTGCCGAAAGCAGGTAGTTGGCCCACCATTAGCATCAGGTTGGTCCATGCGCAGAGTATGGCGAACGCGCCCACATAGTTTTGCCAGTCGTAGGTGCGCCCGGTATAAATGAAGGACGTGACAAATATGCTGACTATCACTATACCGTCCAGTACGTTGTCGATGTTGGAGAAGTATTGAACCGCCGATTTATAGACCATGAAACCGATTATCTTCCGCGGTATGGTGATACATGTTAACGCCAATGCAAGATACCACTCCATTTCTATAACAGATCGTTTGAAGAGGAAGGAGGCCTTTTTGCTACTGCAAAATTTGGAGTTGCTAGTCTCGTGATTGTAACACTTGTAGGCCAATGCGGTTAACACGTAAGTGGTCATGCATATTATCGTCATTGCGTACAAGAATATTCTCAACAGATAGAGCTTACGAATCTTCTCCCATTTCAGGTGCAGAAAAGCCATAACCAGCGGATGCGACAGCAGATCCTTCCGATGTTCCTGCACGAAGGTGTTTATGAAACTGGTCTCGCAATGATTGTTACTGGGGAAGAGAATGTCGAAGTGCAACTTCATTTCGAACTCTCGATTGTGCGACATCGGCCGGGTCAGCCTGATGGAAGCGTCCAGTCGTTGCCGGAACACATGTAAGGATTCTGGAATCTTTTTCAAGATGATGTTCAATGCGGACAGCCCGGTGAACGTGGTCGCGCTGATATCGGCGCCGGCCCAGATTAGCGCGTCGACACACCGCGACTGCTCGTTCAAGGCAGCGATGTGAAGTGGCGTAAAGCCGGCCTTGTCAGCGGCGTTCACCAGAGCACCGCGTTTTAGCAACAGCTGCACCAGTTCGACGGACGAGTCGGTGCTCATCACGGCGAAGTGCAGGGGTGTCCGGTGTTCTCTGTCCACGGCGTTGATATTGGCAATGGCCGCAGCGGCCGATAGCAGTTCGACGCAGGGTATTGACTGTACGGAACAGGCTACGTGCAACGGCGTTTGGCCCAAATGATTTTTCTCGACCACGCTGGCGCCGCGCTCAAGCAATAATTTCACCGTTTCCACGGCCTTCGTCCTGACAGCACTGTGCAGGACGGGTTCGACTATTTCCTGACAGGAGTGATTCAGTTTTGCGCCGTAGTCCAGTAAGGTAGCAGCGGCGTGCCAGCTATTTCCAAGAGCCGCGACGTGAAGCGTCGTGTAGTGGCTGATCGAGTTCTCATAGTTCACGTCGGCACCTTTCCCGATGAGATACTCCACACATGCTACTTTATCGTTCAATGAAGCCGCCAGGAGAGCGTTCACGCCGGAACGCGACTCTATGTAGTCGTATTGCGCACCAGCTTTCTCCAGCTGCGGCAGAAGGTGCAGTAGACCGCGATAAGACGCCCAGATGTAAGCGACGTTCCGCAGTTTCTCGTTCTTGCATGCATCCGGCAGCGTATCGCACTTCTCCATGTGCAGCAGCAGCCTCGTCTCCGCCGGACTGACGATGGACCATATAATCGATTTGAGCTTAGCGCCGTTCACATAGGGATGTTTACCGTACTCCAGGTTGTCGAAGAAGAGAGACTCGTCGGCTGGCGGTGGATCGCCGGCGTCGATCTCGATTTGATTGGCCTCGGGCTCTGGCACAGCTCTGTCGTCGTTTGCGATCCTCCGCGGATTATCTTCCGTGTCATACGTATACCTCAAGGACCTATAGGTGGAAGCTAATCTCACAGCGAGAATCTCGTCCTTGTGACGTCCGTTTAAGCTTCTAGTAGAATATACGTGCTGCCTGTTCTCGTTGATGATCGGTATCTTCAAGAAGTCCATTTCGAGGTTGTCCACCTTTGCGCTGGCGTTTCGTGCATTTTGATCGTCCATATTCGCGGAGAGACAAACTTGGCAAACTTTACATGTCAATTTTATTTTATCGGTTTGCCTGTAATTCAGTAACTTCTTCGAATTACCCAAATTCAAGATTCTACGATTTTGTATCTCGTTCGAGTCATTTGCGATAACTAAAACAAACTCGACCGTTGCTATCTTTCTTTTTTACCATTCTCTTTTCCCGAAATAATTGCGGTTTCTTCGCAAATACAGGCACAAGAATTCCAAATCCGGGTTTAGCTCGTTAGAACAGTTTACGATGAAATAATCTCGTCACTTCTCTATTATTGTACGGAGTTATTCCTGTTATCGCACGTGTGATTGTTCCACGTTAGCGTAAGCATCGATTCGATAATTGAACGCTAAGTATTATCGTGCCGCTATGTGATGTGCCGAGAAGCATCCCAATTGCTATAGCTACGTCTTCGTCTGTCACTCTGTCACCTCCGTCTGTCACCTCCGCGTGTTCATGTTCTCCTTGTCGTTCTTTTCTTCAGCTACCACGTCACGTCCCGGAGCTGTTTAGGTCATTTTAAGAGAGGACTCTTATCGTTGCATCGCGGCCTCGACCACGACCGAGTGGCTTATATCCGAGTACCTTGTTGCACTGATTCGATCATGACTTGCATTCATCCGGACTGCTTAGCGATCCTCTCTCTAACGGGAATATATACGTTCGGCGTGCGCGAGATATGGCTAATAAGGCTAAAACCGGATGAACAGCTGCTCTTTCTCTCTTTCTCTGAGAGTACCACTTGTCATAATAACGGCATCAGACACGAATGTTTGCAAATGTTAGGACCAGCCGTACTAACTTTCAGATGACAAAGGAAATGTTCCATGTAACGAAGAAGAATGTTAGATTGTCTTTCGTCGGAAGCTCGCGGAAACGATTCGTATTGAAGACCGTATTTGTCTCACAGTTAATGCGGCACGTGGCAATCGTAATCGAACAAGCGTAGAATACGGTATACGACGCAGGTAGCTGTACTCTCTTCAGTCTGGTAATGAGCGACTCGGTAGATCACATGGTGTATGTTATAACGTTAATTAATAAAATAACGACGTGATTATCTTGGGTTGTTCACCATACACGCACCACACTGTCTTCTCTCATCTTCATTGCCGACTTTGTCTCCGTTGCGTTTGTGTTTTTTCGTACAATACTATCGCCTCTCGAGATATGTCGCGATGATGGATGTTTAGCTTGCAGGAGGCTCGAAGGTGTGACTGAGAAAAATAGATCTTCTAGACTACGAATCGAAAAGAATTCTACTCAGTTCTTCGTTTTTTCAATTATAATGAAATAATCAACTTGAGTTGTCTATTATCGAGTAGTTGATCACTCGATGGTTCTACGCATTACTCGCGGACCTATCCGATTCGTATAATCGCGCTACAGGTACTGCATGACGCGCCTGGGACGATCGGTAGATCGTGCGGAAAGAAGAGTTCGTGAAATATCAAGTCGAGGGGGAGGGGAAAGGGAGAGAGAGCATAATAAACAATATGCATAAACATAAAGAAATATATAGGTCAACACCAAGACGAAAATCTGCTCTACGCGCTACAAGTTGTACACGAATTGTTTTTCTATTAAGGGATTATAGGACCCTGAAGAAGCAAAAATTAGATAAAATTTAGGGAGTTGTAAAAAGTTGGAAATTAATAGAAGTATGAATTTTTTATATCAAGATATTGTCAATAAACATATATAATAAAAAATTCATACACCTATTAATTTAGAATCCTTTACAACTCTTCAAATCTTATCTAATGCTTACTCCCGTCAGGATCCTGAAACTTCTTAAATTCCAGGTTAAATTAGACGATGTTGAAAAGTACCGCTGGCTGTCCGACCTTTATGATAGAGATTGTTGCTGTTGGCATTGTTATTTACATCTGTTATCGTTGAAAAATGCCACAGATATTTACGTTATCAATCAGGCACATCGATAAAGTGAAACCTTTCTCATCGACAATTTCTCGAGAGATTCAATAAATGCAAGACAAGAAGATCTTTTGTTAGGAAAGGCGATGGAGTTTTCATTGATTCTTTACTAAGCGCAATCGAGTAAAGCAAAATGAATTTATTAAAAATTCATTGCAGCTTACAGTATATAGAGAAATGATCTAACTGCTGCTAACTGGAAATATTATTTAACTGCTTGTACAACTAGAAAAAGATTCGAGAGTTTAGATATTTAAAATTGAAGTTTTGACACTTTTTATATCCTTGATAGATGAATTACTTTTTTAATTTCTATTTTTAATTTCTTGTAAATTAAAATTAGAATTTCAGTGAAAAATTACTATGATATTAAAAATTAATATACCGACATTATATACAAATTTCAGAATTATTGACTGTTTTGTTTGGAAAATATAATGGTGGAAAATTTATATAATTTATAGTAATACTCGATATGCATACACACACGCATATACACACACATACATATATAATATGTATGTTACATATTTATATGCCTTTCTATTATCTGTGTACTTTTATTAAATCAATTAATGCTCAAATAAAGCATTAATTAATTAAATAGCTAATGTTGATGGCAGCGTTTTAAATTCGATATTTTACATGTAATAATTTTTCCTAAATGTTATGACTTATAGAGATGATGCAAAATTTTAATAAATTTATCGATCAATCTTTCGATCGTCAATTGGTTTTAGTTATTTTCGGTTCAAATTTTTATTGTGTCTTCTTTTTCCTTATCCAACATTTGTCGCTTTCATGAAGTACTTTTTACGTAGTTTCTCCTCTCACGTGGTTTCTGTCTCATAGCTAAATTTCTCATAGAGCTCCCGAATTCGACTTGCCCATATTCAGCTAAACGCCTTTCACTCAGTAGTCCGCGTGATCGCGAATGTGATACTGGTTTGCATAATTTGTGATTTTGTATTCATTTTAGATACATGTATCATACGAATGATTTGTATGCGGTATACGTAAATGAAATGCTGTGCATGAAATATTGATATATTAGAAGTTATTGTAATCAAAACAGTCATTGAAATCTGAGCCATTGAAATCTGAGATACAAAATAATTTATTCTGCGCAATTATTTTATTTAACGTTATAATAATAATCTGTTTTTCACAGTGATGGAATGAGTAATACATTTTATATTTTTGTCTTTCAACTGCCCTATTTGAAGGACTGGAAGACGTAGAATTGTCTGATTGGCAATACACAAAATAATATTCGTTCGACGTAGTTTACAGGTACAAATAATAGCCCATTAAATTCTTTTTCAAGAGGTGGACTCAACGTCCTCGTTTGATGTTCTTACCGGGTTTAACAACAGGTCCTATCTTGAAAGTACAACTTTTTACGAAGAAGAATTTATGCAGATCGAAACCGGTTTTGACCGTCTGTCTACGTATACCGTTAATGTTATTTGTATTCTTGGAAATCCTCAAAGTGAAACTCGACTATTGAGGCAACCCTAAAACGCTTCTAAGCAAATTACTTGTACTTGTAATTCAACTCGTTTTTTGCAATGTGTCTTGATAGAAAATTCACAATAGTTTATTTTTTGTTAATATAATTTGCAATTCCCGACTGTGAAATTCTCATATTTAATATTTAAAACTTCACAAAGAAATTGAGAGAGAACATTCATTGACCGCAATAACTTGATTATATATTAAAAATTATTATTATTAAATAATTATAAACAAGTGATACAATAAGATTATAAATAAATTGACATAAATAATAAATTTCTTGAATTTTTTTGAAATGCGTTTCTTATTTATTATTTACAATAATATTCTTCTTTATTAAAAAAGATAAATAACATAATTTATATAAAAAGAAAAAGGCAAAATAATAAAGATATAATTCTATATACATGCATGCATGATTTATCGACTCTATAATCCAGCATTTCCAAATTTCCGAGTTTCTGATCATTGCTGAATCCTTGAGACTTCGAATTGCTGCGAAATCATCTCGACGAATTCCATTGTTTCACTATAGATCGTGCTATTTGTTCGCATCGTGTATCTTTGCAAGCTCTCGAAGGAGAGCCTGATTTTTCTCGCAAATTTTTCTGAGCTCCGCGATGTCGTCCTTAAGTTTGTTGCAATCCTGTGTCAACGTATCTTCGTCGAAGCCACGTCGACGGCTCACGGTGGAGACGTCACCTTTCATATACGCTTTCGCGTAATGACCTGGACCGTAGGTTTTCTTGCGTGATGAGGCGAAATTACTATGCCCGTCTCCTTCCTTGGCTATTTTATAGGCGGCTGAGAGAACATCGCGTGGTAATCTTGTCTCTCTAGGATTTAGTGGGCGGACGGTTAGAACGGCACGTAATGGTGATGGCAGAACCAACGCGGACCATCGCAGACGCTTTATCAGGCGTTTTGGCAAAAGCGCGAAAAAGAGTGCCACTTCTACATCGTAGATTAGCTTAGTTTGACGAACGAGCTTCGCGAGGCCCGCTGTCTTCTGCAGACCTTTGATATCGTGCACAGCAATACCGATCAGCAGATTCATCAGTACGATCGTCACGAATAAGAGAAACAGTACAAAAGAGATCTGGGCTGTAATTTGCAGCAAAACCCAAGAGGTCCCTTTCACGTCCGACAATGCGGTTTGAGCGATCGTTTCGTTAGACGGGAAGAAGAGATCCTCGAAGCCCAATTCACCGGTCATCATTGCGAGGACCTTAATTAAAGCCGTATGCAGGCTGCCAAATGACTTGGAATGCGGAAAGATAACGCAAAAGCTTGCTGTAAAGCCTACCAGCAAACAAGCATACGCTAGAAGCAGCTTGAAGACCTGAGCCATTACGCTGGTGAACATCGCGACGTAAGCGCCGAACATTGGTAATTGGCCTATCATCAGCATCAAGTTGCTCCAACCACAAAGGACGGCGAAGGCGCCGAGGAAGCTTTGCCAAGCGTATGTTCTGCCGGTGTATATGAACGAAGTCGCGAACACGCTCAGTATTACACACCAATCCGCCAGGTTCTCCGCTTGTGTGAAGAACTGTTTGACGGACACGTAACTGGGCAACACGGTGAACTTGCGAAAGGCCTCTAACAGGGCGAGCATTACCAGCGTGTACCACTGAATCTCCAGTGCCGCGGGGTGTCTGTAGAGAAAGCCGTAGGCTCCGGTCGCTTTCGCACAGACCGGCGGGTCGCGCGCGTGCTCATGCGATTCGTTGTAACAATTGTAAGCCAGGCCGGTCATCACCCAGCTCGTCAGGATTAACACGTACACTAGATAGAAGAGCAATCTAGCGGCGTAGTACTTTCTGATCTTCTGCCACTTGAGGTGGAGGAAAGACTGGCATAGAGGATGCTCCAAGATCTCCTTATAGCCTTCCTTCACAAAAGTGTCTAAGCAACCGATCTCACCGTGACGTTTATGCTGCAGTAACGGACGGAAGTCTAGTCGCAGCTCCAGTTCGCCTGCGACGAATCCTTGCCGGTGTAGAGTTACGGATGTGTCCAACCTTCGCTCGAACACGTCTAAACAGGTAGGAGTTTTGCGGAGGACGATAGATAAAGCGCTGGTACCTCCGCTTGTCTTGGCACTGAGGTCGGCTTCGTGTCTGATTAACAGATTGACACATCGCGACAGCTCGTTCGCAGCTGCGATATGGAGAGGTGTGTATCCATATTTGTCAGCTTTGTTCACGTTCGCTCTCCAAGTCAGTAGAAGCTCGATGATATCGTCGGTCACGAGAGACCGGCTTAGAGCCAAGTGCAAGGATGATCGACCTTCGTCGTCCTCCGCGTTTGGGTCGGCGCCACCTTTCAGCAAGACCTCCACGCATTCTAGGCTGTGAGAACGAGCGGCCAGGTGCAAGGCGGTGTGTCCTCGGTGATTCTTCAGCTGAAGATTCGCCTTCGCCTCAACCAAAACAACGACGTTGTCCACGCAACCGGCTTCCGCAGCTAAATGCAAGGCGGTGTCGTTCTTTCTCGTGGGCAGGTCCACTGGACAGCCTGCCTTTAGAAGCACGTGCAAGCAATCTGAGTGTCCGCCGTCGGCCGCGTGATGTATAGCAGCGAATCCATCAGAATCTAATCGTTCTAGCTCCTTGTTATTCGGTGCTAACAGCGAAAGTACGCGTAGAGCGTTCGTACGCGCTGCCACGTGTAACACTGTCTCTTCATCTTGTGAGGACTCTTGATCAATATTTCGTTGCATGAAGTAATGAGCGACATCGTAAGAGTCACCGAAAGCGGCGTAGTGGAACGGCGTATGCTTCTGGTTAAAATTGATATTTGCGCCTCGCGCTATCAAACATTGGACACCGTCCAGGCAGTTACGAAACGCGCACAAGTGCAGCGCGGTGAGACCCTGGTCAGATTCAGCGTAGTCGACGTTAGCTTCGTGTTCGCACAAACAGCGGATGAGGTCCGCACGATCAACGAAACTCGCGTGCAGCAACAAGACGTTGATTTCGTTAGGCTTGCAGGCCGCGAGGAACGTTTCCGTGCTGGTCTCGTCCGTTTTACACAGCTCCTCCAGATCTTCCCAGAGTTGAGATCTGCAGCCTGCTCGCCGTGTGTGTTCCACGAGGACATTTCTGATAAAATCTTCGTTGATGCGTAGGGACGAGCGATCGATCTCCGTGGAAAAACCACGCTCACTAATACATATGGAATAATCCTCTATGGAAGGTACGTTGTTGGGAGGCGCGCACTCGTACGGGATGTAATCCTCCTCAACTTGACTCTCATTTTGCCTGGAGCGTTTGGCAGATATCCATCGAGCTAGGAGCAAGGAGGTCGCAGTTTGGCGCAGTGATGAAGTTGGCGCGAGTTTCGGCGCTCTTTCTCCGGCCTCTTCCATTTATTTCGTTGATGAGACCACAGATTTGACGCTGAAACGATGTACTATCTCCGCCTGTTGCCGCATTAGATTTTAATTACCTATAAATACAACACAAGAGTTTCGCGCCGTAATACGAAGTACGAAGTCATACAAAGTACGTTTGATAGATGAATATTGATGAATAAAGTTTTTGTAATTTGGAGCCGCATTCGCGTACAGTAATATACGAGAATAAGTTTTTAAATTATTTTACAGATGTATATTGCAATAACAAAGAAATGGAATTTAAATCATGAAGTTGGAATTATTCAATTTTTTTAAACGACAGAGAAAGTTTTTCATATCAACTGGAATTGTGTACAATATAATATCTAGCTTCTTTACGATTTTAATGAATTTACAGTAGTGAAACGTAACGTTTCAGAAGATACGTTTCTCACACTTCTCATTTTAAAACGAAGACTATGGACTCGAACTTTGGCAACACACTTCACAGAAACATTATTATATGTCAAGAGATATATAATCGCGTCTCACGCCAAGTGCACGTATGATTGACAAGGCCGATAACGTCATAATGTCAAAATCTAACGCAAAATGCAACGCGTGCAAAACTTAATTTGAAAATTGGTCAAGTAACTGAGAAAAATGATTGAGCGCTCTCGTCGAATCGAATATTTACATCTTTCGAGAGATGGATATGAACGTTCTCGTTATCACGTAATGCAATCTGAGTCGACATCGTATCGATAACACATTGATAGGATACTAAACTATTAGTACACCTTAACCCACTTTCCCGATAAAAAAAGAGCGAAAAACGAGTGGTTTTTATGAAGAAAATATTTCTGCAATAATATTTCAGATAGATATAATAACAATAATTGTGTGCAAAAAACTATCTAAAAATATTAAATAGGAATATAAATTAAATAAAATATTTTCTTCTCATGCAAAGGTAAACACATTGTAGTATGCTTTTTGTGTCAGATTTGTTAGTTAAGTGAAACAACTTGTTTGCTAGGTCTGTAATTGGTAAAACAATTTACACGATAGGCGGTTTTTTAATATTTCGGATTAAATGTAACAACTCAATTATCACGAAGATGCTAAGCATCATCGGAGATGGCACGAGAGCTAGATACCTTGCACGTTGAACTAAGACTGCACGAGATGAAACTCGGCAAGCGTCGATGATCGTTTCGATCGAATCATCTCGTTCGATCGCCCGGCTAGTACATACTGAGAGCGAGGGAGCGTACGACGTGCGATCGTACTGGCTCCATCGTACCGGTTTTACTAGCGAGAAGCTTGGGTGCTATTTGCATCCGATATCTTTAAAGCACATGTCGAAGAAACGCTGAGCCATGCGGAAAGACAGTCTTCCTTGAAGGACATTGAATATGTTCTTGCGCCCGCGTTCTTCGCGTGGGACACATCACAGGAATGTGAAAATCGTTTCTTCCTCATTGGTCTGACATACAATATGTGTCCTTCTGACAGTGTGTTTTTCGAAATGTCATTCGACATAGATGTCGAATATTTCAAACATGTCTCTCAGTTGGGTTTATTTTCTTTTTTGTTTCTTATCTGAGTGTAAATAGGATCCAATTTAATATTTCGTATTCGTTTAATGTGAGTCGTTTGCACAATATGTGTATCGTAAAAATGTATTCAGTCGTCTTCATAAAACAAACTCAATGTAATGTAATTAAATCTTTGGTTTAAAGTGTCATTCGGTGAAATCAGATGATGATATTTCGTTAAATAATTCATTTGATCTAAATGCTAAAAACAATGATATGTATAACATTGCCACAACTAACACAATAAATTAAAATTTATAAACTTATCACATAGAATGTCTGGTAAAAATGATTTAAAAATCGGCATACTCACTTATTTTATACTTATCATAAGAGATTTAAATGCAATATATTGTGTTATTGCCACAGATCATCCCATGCATCAGTGTATATATACATTTGTATATATGTATGTATGTATATATATGTGCACACACACACACACACACACACACACACACACACACACACACACACACACACACACACACACACACACACACATGAGGTATGGGATGACATTATAGCACATACATATAGTTAGAATAATAATATATTATCTATATATAGAAAATTGAAATGTATTCACAGAACAATGTAAGAGTTCGATTCTGAACTGTGTTTCACTATACCCTCCTCCCCTTGTATGAAAATCCGTTAAATAAAAAAATAGTATTCTTTCTCCAGTTACTCACTTTAATTCTTCCCAGAAGTTATTATAAAGATGCCTCAAGCATTATAGCGTTATTAATTATTAATTATGGTTTCAAAAAATAACGTAACGCTATTCATTTTATTGTAAAAATTATTTTCAGCTAAATTATACTACTAATTATATTATAAAATATTCAGCTAAATTATACTACTAATTATATTATAAAATATTCAGCTAAATTATACTACTAATTATATTATAAAATATTTCAGAAAGTTTTTGCGTTAATATTTACAATATTTTTCAACAGAAATTTCGATTTTCATTTACAAAAATTTAAGACATAAATTATCTAAAATCAAAGAATTACACTTAGTCAATATAAACAGAACCTTAATTTCTCAATATTATTTCATAAAATTTTAATTTACTTAATTATATATAGATTAATTATATATGTATAGATTAATTATATATAGATTTTTCATAAGAATTGAGATATTTTATAAATGTTAAAATTTAACTTATCAGTTATTTTTTAAGAATATAAACTACAAATATGCAAAGGAAATAAGAAAAAGAAATAGAATAACAAGCAACAGAAAAGAGAAATATCAAGATGTAGTACTCACTTGCTCGCGATAATATATTTCCTTGAAGTATGTGATATCTTGTCCATTGATAGTAATGTTTCCAGAGCCATTACCATAAAGTGTTACTTCACCTCTTGCAGTTTTTCTCATACAATCTAAAATGATAAGTAATGAATGTGGTAAAAAAAAAAAAAAAATATATATATATATATATATTACTTATGTGTGTGTGTGTGTATATATGATATCTGAGTTATGTATAAATGTTAAAACTATATTTTTACTTACTTTTAACTGTGATATATGGTCTTCCTGTGTTGTCTTTTTCCAGCTACATACACATATAAAAATCCACATATAAGTAATACTATATATATGTAAGAGTGTATGTTCATTTCATTTATTATTATCAATTGTATACAAACTAGATACTTACTGGTGGTATTACTATTTCATTTATGTTAGTAGTAAGTGCTTTACGATATTTCATAATGAAGTCCTGTGCACGTTTTGACATTGTGTGATTACATAGTCGATCAAATGATGTAATAAGATAATTATACTGAAAAGTTTATCACAGTTGTGAGTTAAACTATACATATGCATCTTTTATGCTAAATATTGATTGTAACATTGTCATTATTAACATTTTTTACCTCAGAGTCAAGAAGATTTTCAAGCAGTAGTTTTTCAATTTCTATCTTCGTAAGCCATGAAGAACTCAATAAATCACTAAAAATCACAATACATTTATGAGAAAATGTTATGCTTATTATTATATCAATGCATATGTTAAATCATGCATATATATATATATATATATATATATATATATATATATATATATGACATATTTATCTAATACATATCTAATGTAAAATATCTTACGTACATTTTATCTATAGATACTATTCCTTGGCTTATTAATGAATCTTCAACTTTATTCAGAGATTGAATTGTTTCCACAATATTCTGTAAAAAAATAGTGTTTTAGAAAATACTCTCTCCAGACACTCCCTTTTATATTTTTATAAAAAATAATTATGAAGACTTACAAAAAGTAACTCATAATAATTTGGTTTACAAGTATAAAACATAAAATGTAAAGGTCTCCCAGTTTCATCAAATTCTGCTGCTTTTTTGCTTGGGAAGATTTCATCTGGATGTCGCATCATTGGTCGAGCTTTAGAGTCAAATAGTCCTGATGGAAAAAGATATTCAATTGATCTCTGAAAATAATAAATTTTAAGTATTATATTAGATATATTGGCTAGACTGGCAATATTCTCTTTTATATAACTACATACATTTATATCTTCTTGTGTAAAGAACTCTGGATCTTCACCCATCATATTAGCCAAGTGTCTTTTGCCTATTTGATATTCCATGATTTCTTTTTTCATAAACATATCTGAGAAATATAATTAATATATAATTTTAAAGAATTATGTTAAAATATTATAAATTCTATGAAATATTAAATGAAAGCATAAAATTAAATACTACCATATTCTTGTGATCGTTGCAGATATGCCAACATAGTTTTGCTTATCTTTTTATTTGGTTTTTTCTCTTCAAATTGACATAAATCGTCAGTTTTATTAGTAGATGAAGAACATGTTCTTGAATTAATATTCTGCAGTGTCATAAGACAATCACATTATAAAATTATGAAATTGATATACATATAATAATACAAAAGATAATATTTAATTAAATTTACAGTTTAATACAATACATATAATACAATACAATAAAATCTGTCTTATTACTTACCAAATATTGTGCACTATCCATAAATAAAACAGTAACATTACTACTGATACCGATAAAACGTCGAAAAGGCAAACGTGTGAAGATAGATACAGCCATAGTTGCTGCTGACACTTAAAATAAACTGTTATTCAATTAATTTATAATTAATAGTACAATTTAACGTGCAACTTAACCTTATTCTTGGAATAATCGACTGTGGTTGGTCAATTTACATGACTTAAAAACTGTGGACTAGGACTTAGGGAGAATTCATACCTTGCCAGAAAACACAAAGTAGAAGCCAATTAAATAATTTTAATATTGACAATATATGTTAACGAAGATGTAATTAATTGATACGTCTTCTTGGATCTATTTTCTATTGCTGTGAACTGGTTGCATTAGTTCTTTCATTTAGTGGTCTGTTCTTTTCAGCGCACTGCTGAACTGGTGCAATAAGTTAAAGTGAGACAAATATATGTTTTCTCACTCTAACTTATTGCACCAGTTCAGCAGTGCAGCTGAAAAACAGACTACTTTCTTTTACCACATTTTATTTGTATATCTGTCTCTTTTTAAATTCCGAAAATAAACATTAGGAATAAAAAACAGACCCTACAATATACCGTTATATAAAGCCAGCGGCAACAGTGTTTTCATGCTGGATTATTTGCTGGATGGAAAAGCTCTGAGCAAAAATATTTCACTTATTCCACCAATACACCAATACACCAATTTCATTTTTTTCATACAAATAGTAGAAACAAAATTACCGCCAAATATAGGTATCTGCTTTCTTATTGGTTGTTTGTAAGATATTATGGAAAATTCGTCGACATTGCGTCGACATTCGATGTACGATGATACAATATCCAATAGTAGAGTTTCTTTGCTAGAGTTTTTAGTTAGCAACATTTTTGTCTCCAGAAAACTAATTCTCTTATTGGATATCGGATGTGACGCACAGGTTCTACAATACGTCGTTTGTCGGAGTGCATGTCGGAACGCAGTCGATGGTCCAATGAGGAGAATTTGTTTACGTAAAATAAACTCTTTTATTGGACCGTCAACTACTTTCCGACATGCGACTTCGGTAAACAGCGTATTGTAGAACAGGCCTCAATGTAAATCCTCCATCAGTAGTAACGCTCTATGCATATGCCAGTAGCCCTATTCTGTAACTCGTTATTGGAGTTAACGAAATTGTCGTTAACTCCAATAACGAGTTACAGAATCCCAGCACAGGGGTCCTATTCCGTAACCATTTACCGACAACTGGGAGCGTCCCGATTGACCACGGTACGATTGAACACAACCAACCGATGAAAAGAATTATCTAGTGAATTACTAGGTCGAACCAATCAAGACAATCTGTGTCCAATCGTATCGTGGTCAATCGGGTCCACCCCCGACAACTGTTGGATCGGTAGACGTCGTTGCGCAGCTTTTTTATACCATAGAAAAGCTGCGCAACCACGGCTACCGATCCGACAATTCGGATTGGTCAATTATTTCTATTACCTGTTCCTATTGGCTAATGTCTATTCCGATTGCCTATTGCTTAGCATTGTGCATAGGCTTTAAAAATCCAGCCAGTTCCAACCTTACCGCCGTGGCTTGAAGAAATTTGAATTTGTTTGACGTGATCTGTGATTTTTTGTAAACAATCCTTGGAATTATTTTCGAGGAATATTAACAATCATCTTTAAGTAGTAAATAATGAAAGGGCCGCCGAGATAGGTCTGAAACCAAGAAGAAAAAGAGTAAAAATCCAGCTTGCCGGATTTCTTGCGGTTACGGTTATGGCGGTTATTTCCAAGTACGAATTTTCATTTATGTTACTCTATCTGATTGTATGTGTTGGAAAATTATAAAATTACGGTTAAGACTTTTTGACACAAAGGCCTTTAATCCAGTCGAATACACTATTAGAATGTTTAGTGTCTCAAGACGGTGTCTACACCGAGTGATGGTAAAATTGTATCTAAAATCACTTCAATTTGATGTATTCAATCAGAAAACTACGAATCTGCGTCATGTCGGCACTTAGCGTTGCCTCATTACTTCATATTGCAGAAAATACTCTTCTGTAACATCAACTGCGAATGTATTGAATCACGTGATTCAATCAATTAATTAGATAGTTTCCCTCAATGTTGCTTCTCTGTTTATCTAAGAAAATATCTATTAAAGAAAAGTCATGACTGTTGAGCTATATAGCACTTCAAAGCATTTGTAACAGGGCGCATTCTACAACATTGCTTTTTGGTATTATTTTGTTCCCAGATGTTTCTAAAACGTTTTATTTAAATATTATTTAAAACTTAAATTTAGATGTTTAAATTTAAAAAATTTCATATTTCAAATTTGAAAATATATGATAACTAAATATATATAATACCCATTTTTGCAGAACAGGGAAATTCCTTTTATTTTAGATTTTTTATTTAATTTTTTAAAATAAATCTGTGCATTTTTATCTCTTCATGTAATATTATATTTTGACCTCTCTTTATAACTACATGCAAGGACAGCATGGTGGTATGTCTACACAATAATTCTAATGATGTATTAAATACAATTTACACTTCATAACATCTTCATTATTGTAAAAATGATTTGTAACGCTCAAGAATATATATATATATATATATATATATATATATATATATATATATATATATATATATATAATATTTT